AAAACAAAGACAAATGAGAAAACTTGGATTATATGAATGGAGTAAATTAAACGAATTTAAAATACACATATCAAATATATATTTTTATATTTTTTCGCGTGCAACCCTAAACGAGACCTTCACGGCTAAATATGATGGCGTTTTGCCCAGAACACCCTAAATGAGACCAAAATCCGAAATTTACACCCCTAAGCGAGATGACGAGCATCCCCACCATTTTCATATGCGGAGTCTCCTCCCGGGCGAAGAAGTCCCCTAAGAACCGTAGTATATTTCAGTGCCTTGGCTCGACATCTAGAAAAGTATTCCTAATATCTAACTTCTGGCCGGATTTGCAAAGAGACTTGAACAGCTCTCATCGACTATTTTCACGTGAGCCTTTAATAAAGATTAAGGGAGCAAACAGTTTTCTCGTATTCTCTATTCAATCCAAAAGGAATCTGATTTATTTGTGCTTTTTCGACGGCTTCTCTATGCAATCGTACCTTAATAAATATTTAACGGTTCTCTGCATTCATAATGTTCTGATCGAAAGCTGTAAAATGGTTACCGAGTGCCCGGCAGTTTCTAGCTAACGTTCGCCAAAAAGAACAATTCGTGGGTGTTAAGGGAATGAGTGAAACTGTTCAAGTTGTACACGGTCTAAGGATGAAATCCTGCATCTTGATTTGACGTTAGGGATTATTAGGTATCTTTTTTATTTCGTACATCAGGCTGACTGTGGTAATAAGCGGAAGGGGGGAGAGGGTGGGTGACTTATCAGAGGCTGAAGGCCAATAAGAGAAAATACGTCGCTTAGTTCTCAGCATCGACTCAGCAATTCGGATGCTAAAGATGTCCGCAAATTGATTCCCTGACATAACATAATTGAGATTCTTAAAATTCGCCGGTGGATTAAACCTTATTTTTCCCAAAAAAGTATCTGGAACGTTACATAATATTACTACGTAAAGGACAGGTATACAGAACATATTTTGTTCCTTTTTATTCTGCATGTTACGACCTTAAAGTAAAATGAAACAAGGGTTCATTAAAACTCCAAGTACGTCAGTCACTGAGCCGTCAGCAATGGGTGTCTGCACCGTCTCAGCGCGTCTTTACACTCCATCTTTTTAAATGCCCTAAAGTGAACGATACAAGTAAGTCTTTAGTGAAACAAATCATAGTCATACTTAGCATATTGCTTGTCAAAATGATATATCGTTTTCATTTTCAGCTGTAAAAATTCTGAAAATAACTTTTTCTCAAGTTTTTGACATCTTTAAAGCCTGAAATTATATGCTGACAAAAAGTCATTCTTCTTTTTCTTTTCGTCTTACAAAGAATAAGTCACTAAGTTCTCAATGTAAATAAATGAAGGATATAGATCTTTTTATCTCTCTTGTGTATTTTGCTTTCCTAAAGGCAGACCTGCCAACCCCTGATAAAGGAAAATCTGGAGACCCATGAAAAAAAATCTGGAGATTCTATAAAAAATAGTGAGATTCTATTTTTTTCCCGATCAAGATTAAACAAACACCTTTTCCATCGAGGAAAGTCATTAACAGTTTATTTAAATGTTTTATTTGTGTTTCGCTTTCCCGCGCTGAACTTACAAAGACTACTGGGAAACTCAACATGGGAGACCTGGGAATTAGACCTCGTTCCCAATCGTGAGACCCACGGCAGAACCGTGAGAGTTGGCAGGTCTGTAAAGGTCATCGGGTTTGCTTATTGTTCTTTCATAAATTGTGTGTAAGTTCACGTGAATACGACGAAATACGTATGAAACAGTTCTTTAGGTCCTGTCCACAAGAATCCAGACGTTTTTGAAACACAATAATTTTTTCACCCGGATTCGTATGGACGTGGCCTCAAACCACTCTGGAGAATAGTTTCAAATAGACGTGGTTTCATTAAGTGGATTTACTCAGTTAGTGGTTTTAATCGTGTGGACGCGAAAAAAGTAAAAAAATACAGTACGCAGTTTCAAAAATAGAGCGATTTTCGTATCACCTTGAAAAATTGTTTCAGTAGGTGTTCGTTATTTGTTTTATCAGGTAATGGATGAAAAGATCAAAACATGGACTCTTTCGTTTTCCCGCTAAAGAGAACCCTAATATGGACTGAAGGTATTGTTCGACTGGCCATTCGTGTTGCAGCATGTCGTCAAAGCGAAGTATCGGTTGATTTCTAGAAAGTTCTCAAGCATGAAGTTTTTTCACCCGAGCGTTCGCTTAGCTAACAAAGCCAAGCGCGTTTGTATCCGTTCGATAAACAAATCAAATCGCTCTATTTCCGTTTGTTTGTTGCTTCTGTTTGTTCGCGCATTTTCATTTCAAGGTCATACGAAAATCGCTCTATCCCGATTTGTGTGGACGGGGCCTTAGAGTAATATCACAGACCTGTACAGGGAAAAAACGATTTACACTGGCCGGAAAGGTTTGTAGTTACTGGGCTCTTACCCGAATAGGACATCCATACAGCTCAGCACGCATGCAAACAAAGCCATACCAGCTCAAAGGATGGATTCGAACAAAGCGGGCATGAAATGGTGGGAAAAAATGATGAACAACAATGGAGTCACGATCAAAGTTTCCCCGAAGTACCTATAAAATCGAAACATCAAAGAATTACAGAGGAATTATAGAAAATAAAGGTGTTGGAACATCTGATATCAACCAGGACTTTGCTTTTTAGTTACAGTAAGAAGCAAGCCATTTTTTTTGCTGATGAAAAACAGTGAGATGTTTTTTTTTTAATTCTGGTTACGAGATTGAGTACTCGCTGGGTACCAATGAGAACAAGCTTTTTTTTTTTCAAGGCACACGACAGAGTTTGGGCTAGGTGTCGTTACCTGAGCTTGATATCCTCAATAAAGACTTGTTACATCATTCTGATTCAACACTTAAATCACCTGTGCTCTGACTGAAGCGGAATGTCTTTTTATATTTATACTCGACCCGAAAGACGAGGATGTTTTCAGTAGCTAGCAGTTTAACATTTATTTTTTTACTTTAAAGATGCTTTAGGTGATCAAGTTTTTTCTGAGGCCAGTGTAATGAGTATAGTGTTATTACCTTTATTTTACCGCGTTCTGTGTACTGGACCCAATAAGAACCTGTGAGGCTGTAAGATATTGAGTAACTTGTCGGCCAACTATTGGCATTTTGCCTCCCTTGAGTGGCTACTTTAGTGACGGTGGTGGGATTTCCAAGATCGATTTGCAGCCATTCTTTGTTGTTACTTCTCTTTCCACACCAGGCTCCATCCTTACCAGACCTAGCCACCAGGTTCAAACGGCCGCGGTGGGCTGCGTGGGCACTGGTGTGAATGGTGGACGCAGTGATGGCGCTGTCTTGAATTCGGCCATCTTCGATTCCAAGCGACATGGAACAAAGGTGTCCTTATAAAACAGAAGTTTATTCGCATTTAACAAAAAAGAACAGAACATAGGGCAGTCATTAATTCTCATATTTTTGTCAATGGTAATTGATGCTTAATTTCAAAAACGTATTAATAATTCGTAAAGAAAATGTTTAATAAGTGTCTCTATATCTGATTAAGACACAGCTAAACTTTACGTCGAATTTTTTAGACCAAAATAATCAGTCCCAAATCCAAATATTAGTGCAAGAATGAGTTTATCTATGGGAGGTTTTGAAGCCGTTCAAAAAACTCCCAGTCGTGCCCCTCGGCTTCGCCTCGAATTCTTATTGAAACCTGACAATACACATTCTGCTCGTGTTTTAAACAGTACTTCATAAGTTTTCTTTATAAAGAAAAAAATTTTTAAAGCGAACTTTTAAAATCACTCAAAGTGTTCACCATTAAAAAGTCTGCAACTCAGAGCCAAAGGGAAGAATCCAGTAATTAAAGTTAATTTTCCAGTTCACGTGGCTTTCTCAGCGCAGTACGGATGGTTAACAAACCCTACGTGTAAAGACAAGTGTCGTATTATTCATGCTCGTTACTTTTATATTTTGAAATACATTTTCGTAACATTGCTGCAAACACTTGCTACCCTTATAAAGGCTCTTTTTAGTTTTAGTTCTTTGTTTGTTTGTACGTTTTTCTTGTAACTAAACATCAGGCGAACCCAACGACGGTTTCCTCCTAAATACATTAGGCAGCTTTAGCATCGACGATGGCAACGGTAGCGAAAACGTCAGATTTAAAATGAATTCCCGTTTTTTCAATCTTTGTCGCGTTTATTCCAATTTGCTGAAAATGGCAAGTGTAGGCGAATTTTCCTAGGGTTGATTTCTTGAGGACCACACTCAAGTTTAGAGAGAGAAAAAGAGATTCGTCGTCGCTTGTTTCCATAAAACTTGCATTTAGGCATTTTCACGTCGTAGTCGTGCAAGGACGGTAAAGAAATGAAAAAAGCGTGATGTACGTGCAAAGTTGTTGTTTTGAGCAATAAACCTACTGCTTTTTTGACGTCCTCTTTGCCGTCGCCGTCGTCGTTGCTAAAGCTCCCTATTGAAAACACTTTACAGAGTTACCTTTAGATCTCTACAAATGCATTCTAAGCAGTGATATAAAGTTTGTATCTGTTAGGTTATACTAGGGGAACTTGAGTCTTTTCGAAATTACAAGGGCTTCTGTATTATTTTCCCTAAAATTTTAGATGCAATTTAAAGCTTTACAGATGTTAGTATTTTTCTGATTCCTCTCTCCATCAAATGTTTGAAACCGAAAATTTCAGGCTTCCTTTTTACTAGGAAAAATAGGCTAACCTGGGCCGGGGAGTGAATGTGAAAAATTAAACTTCGAAAATTGTACATGAATGGAACGGTCATTTAGAATTTTTTAGCTGCTCCCAAGAAATAGAAAATTGTAGGCAATATTTGCTTCTAAGGACAAACATTTTACAGAAAACAGTCGTTGGGTGCCCCGGAAACATGAATAGGATAGAGGCGCGAGGAGAGACCTCTCCTTAGAATTGAAAAACTGCTAGTCAAAAAATTCTTCCTCTATAAATTACCTTCCTGACAGCCATAAACTTCAGCCCTCATGGAAATATGATTGTTCCAAGATCTGGGATGAAATCGCAGATAGCGAGCTTCGATTGAGGAGTGCAGGGAATGGTGAACTGGAGTTTCGGCGTCGACGTTACCTCCAAATACCTGACCAATATATTTATAAAATACATGATCACTACACTTGCCCAGGCCTTTTAAAGTCAAAGTGCAACCGTATCAAGAGAAGTGTTAAAAATTATCTAACAACTACGTTTAAATCCCACAGCTTGCAATAACAACTTTCACGTGGTCCAAGTGGTCACATGGTATCACTCTTAAAGAAGCCCCCGCGAGAGCAAGCTTAATGTTTCCGAGTAATCTTATGCATACTGAAGTCCCTATGAAAGGGTGAAGAGAAAGAGATGAGGAGAAGAGAAAAAAGCAATGGTTGCACCCTTAATTTTACATTGGCTACTTTAGAGTTTATGGCCGAGAAAAACTGCTTGACGAAGAGGTATATTTTGGCGATAATGTTTTCAAAAATCCAGCTAGATATGTAATGTATATTAAAAGTTAAATGCATCGTTTGGTTTCTTATAGAACAAGATTTACCTGAAATTCCATTGCATGTCAGTCATACCTTAATGTGTCCATTAGAAAGTCTGTACCAGACCCAATGAGCACCATCCACGCTATATGACAAAGTGTAGCTTGTCACCCATTGGTTAGATTTGTACCTCCCTTGGGTCGCCACTTTAGTCACTGTAGTTTGTCGTCCAAAGTAAACCTGCAGCCACTGTTTCACATCGTTACTCTTAGCGCACCAGGCTCCTGCTTTTCCACTAGCTGGGATTTTGTTTAGGCGGCCAAACTGAGGAATGTGATTGGCGTCGTAGGATGTTGATGCCGAAATTGCGCTGTCAGGCAGATGTCCACTCTCCATACCCAGTGGGAGGAAACAACTGCGAGCTGCTGGATGGAAAATAGGGGACAGAAAATACTGTTACCGTTAACGCTCTGCAAGACTCAGTTTAGGTTTAGCATTTAATTTGTTTGGTACCGGCTGCTGACAGGACAGCTTTTTATTGAAGGTTTATAATTTAAACAACTTACATGTAAATTACTTCACAAAAAACAAACTTTGTCACAAAAGACAGAAAGATCAAGCGAATCGTGGTGACGATTAATTAAATTAATTCACTAACACAACGGTCTACTGATATACACTCGTTCAATGTTCTCTTTTGTAAGGCAGTTTTTCTTGAAACCTCGTACCCAGATAAGAGTCTTCTCTCTTTTTGGTCAGCTTTTAAAAAAGCCAGAAGACTCTGGGAGCAAGATTGCTTTTGATTAACGAAAAGATCGAGAACTCAAACTTCGAATTCTCATTGTGCAACTAGCACACCGCTTAGCTCTGTTAGTAGCAGACAAAACGCATGTAAACTTGTGATATCTTATCATGCTGGTTATGATAAAAGCTTTCATTTTCCAGATTTTCAGTTCAGATTATTGGCTGAGCAGTCAAAAGACGTTAGGCCCTTGATCTTGACTCCACATTTGTTTCGTGAAAGGGACTTCAGAGAACCCTTCTGATTGGTTGAAGCAAATTTCACAAGCAGTACGACTAATCAGAAGCAGTGCCCAGAGGTGTCATCAGAATGGAATTTCTGCGCTCGTTTTTCAGACGTCATTTTGCGGGGAAACCGTTGGTGGCGTCGTGAAAGGTCGTCTGCTTTCTCAGGCTACATCCTTTCTCTTACTATATTTTTATACTTTTTAAATATATGGTAGAAGTGTCGGTATTTAAAGGTGAGAGTAACTTTGTACCGGTACGGTTCGGAATCCCACCTTTGCTTATTAAGCTCGTTTCTAAGGACTGTCAGGATGAAAGAAATGTTTGACCACTGTAGTTCTATCACTGTTGCCAAGGAACACCTGCAGAAGAATCAATCCAGTTCAAATAAATGAACGAATGTAACATTTAGTCATTAAGATTGTATTTCTGAAGTTAGCATGCTAATAAAGAGGTCATTACGTCAGTGAAGTCGCTTGTAATTGGCTGGAAAAAACATTTTTTTTCAAGACGCTTGCAATATTTAACTACCGCTGTTCTTTAAATCACTAAAATTAAGGGCAGATGACCAGCATAAATGGGTTGATAATTTAGTTATCTTCATCGTACTCACCCTTTCAGTTATTTACTTTCTCGTAATTTCTCTCACTCATTCATTAGTTCATTCATCACCTATAGTTAGTCTAACTATAATTTAGTCACCATAGCTCGTGATTCAGCTAGTTAAGCCAGTCAGTTGCCGTCTAGTATTACGCGCAGCCAGCAGCCAGTCCTCTTTTTTCAGTTTTTATTATACCTTGATTTGACTGTCTTCCCGGATGTAAACCCAGTTGAGGTCGTCTGCGGTATAAGACACTGAGAACTTTGTTACCCACTGGTCAGCGTCATGGCGACCCTGAGTGGCCACGCCTCTTATCTTGAATAGGCGACCCAGTTTAACCTAGAATTAGCAGAATATGCAGAGCTGAGCTCATTGTTCTTAATCGAACACGCAGTTTCTTCGACGTGCAGCTAAGTTCAGTTTAGTTTCACACACAAGTTTTAAAGGATCTTATCTTAACCTTGGGAATCAAAAGTAATTTAGTGAACATTCATCTTTCAAACTAGATCTTCACGAGAATAGCACTGAGAAAACATCTGATGTTAAACAGGATTTAGAGGTATTTTAATTTCGAAAAGACAAAAAGGTACTTTGCAAAAATTCTTGAAAGAGTCGATTTACATTGCTATTAGTATTACATTTAGATTAAACATAACGTCATGAATGGCCTGGTTGTCATTCAAGTACCTGAAGCCATTGATTAGCATTGTTCTGTTTAGCAGCCCAACAATATTTCCCGCCATTTGGTAACAAATTAAGCCTGCCTCGGTTTGGAAGATGGTTGGCACTGTAATATGATGACGCAGAGTATGCTTCTTCAGGAATTCTACCGTCTTCCACCCCCACGGGCATTAAGCAGTTCTTCACTAGATAAAATATCAAATTATAACCGTGTCAAATTACAGACAGCTTGCGTTGTTCGTCCTCTAGAAGCGCAATGCTCAAAATCTATTTAAAATTATCCACAAAAAAGAGTATTTAGATCGAGAATGCATGGAGAAAAGACTTAATCGATTTGCAACGTTCCTACTCGTGATATTAATACAACAAGTAATAAAGTTTATGCCAAGGAGTAATTAAGTAAATTTTTACAGGAAGATATGAAGTAAAAAAAGAAAAGAAAACTGAAAGATGGAAACATACTAAGATATGAAGTAACACGAGATACCTACCACTTCGACAGCCATACAGTTCAGTTCTCAGGCACGGAATATTAAGATTGTGAGTCAATGGATGAAAGCGGATAAAGCGAGCTTCTATGTGGGGCTTTAAGGTGTGTATAATCACTGTGTTTCTGTCAGTGTTCCCAGCAAACACCTGAGGAAAGTTACAGTGTAGTTAACAGTTGTGAAGACTCTACCCGAGAAGATGAGTAGTTACATTTGCATAGTTTACTTTCAACTGGATGCCATTATATTCGTTTAGAAACTTCAAATACCTACCTTGTAAATTTTTACACAGTGGTAAGATATTATTTTTGGTGCTTTATAAAATCAAAACTGGTGTTTTGAGGGTAACGGCTGCTGTATTTCGACGAAACGCCATTTTCGTGAAGATGTTTGAAGTTTGGTTTCAATGTTTAAATTACCATGTAATTTTCAATTTCCGTTTTTAATGTTATCAAGGTTCTATATAATTATTGCTTTGTTACAAAAAACGGCATTAGTAAGCTTGTATAAATTGCGATGTTTAATTACGCATAAATTTGCGTCCAAATACTGAAAATAACTTCAAAATCCGAAATAAGAGTAGTTTTGTAGGCCAATCCCATTGATAGATGCTGATAGATCTAGACAAACCGATGCACCCCCTCTCAATCATCAGTCAGTCAGCTACTATCTGGTTTATTACTGACAGTGCAAATTAAGTCAAATTACGCGCAGATCACAAGTACTCTACAAATATAATGTTACTCCAGCAGTCTCACTCTGTATTGTAGTCCGTTTCAGTCAATGGTGATTGATTGATTGATTGATTGACTGATTGATCGATTGATTGATAGAATTAAGCCCTCTTCCAGCTCCAGTCCACAACCGAGAACCTATTCGCAGGCTATTCATTTACTGCTGGAATAGACTTTGGCTTCCTCAGTCCCATAACATTTGGAATCTCTCTTGTTACCTTATCTACGGCTCGTTGCTTGTACCAAGTCCAATGAATCCCGTCTATACTATACGACAGTTTGTATGTTTTAACTCTGTCCTCGCTGCTGTACCTCCCTTGTGTTGCTACCTTAGTGACAGCAGTTATTTCCCCTAGGTTGATCTGCAGCCATTGATTTGTACTTTTAGCTTTCGGGCACCAAGCAGCGATATGTTTACCGTCACTTAAAAGGTTTAGTCTCGCAAGAGAAGGTCTGTGGTCGTTGTTGTAGCTGCCCGAAGCTGTGAATGCACTGTCAGAAATGCGCATGTCCTCCACACCAAGTGGCATTGAACAACTGTGAACTACAAAAATAGACTCCAAGTGATCAAGTACTTGTAATCGTATTTGTTGGGACCAATTGAGGCAGCTGATTAATTTTGAAAATAATTCCACTATTTATTATGATAATTATAATACATTACAATCATAAAGAGGTGAATTACATGTTACTAATTACAAGTTTCGTTTACTTATCTCTCTTATTACGAAGTGTACTGCCGTCCTTCGATGTCCTGTTTTCCGATTAAATCTGACGAGATTCACATCACGGGGGGTCGTCTGATTAATTATTTCTTCTGTCATTACGGATATGAGATGTGATCCTGACTCAAAGATGCTGCCCTTTGTTTCTAATCAAAATTGCCTCTATTTAACCCAGTTTTGTCCATACAGTTTGCCTGCTCTATCTTTTCTGATTCCGTACTATTGCTCCCTACACTTAATCACGTTAAATTATTTATTTCTTAGACATTATGTAAACAGAATGAACTCTTCCCGCTAAAAATACATACCAAACTGATTAACGTACCATTTCGACAACCATACACCTCAGCTCTTAGACAAGTATGTCCACTGTATGTTTTTGGGTGAAAGCGAATGAATCGAGCATTGAACGCTGTCACCGGTAAGTGTTCCACTAATGTATTTCTGTCCTTGTTACCTGAAAAGGCCTGAAACAAAGAAATAAAAAAGTTTAAAATATATTCTATAGTTAAGAGGGATCGAGTAAAGAAGAAAAAATAAAGACAACAAAGGAAGGACAAGAATTAAATTGCCAGGAATTATTAAGCAATAAACGTGACATACAAATCATGGCAAAATGAGAACATTCATTATACCATAAGAAAGTTACGTATCATAGATGCGATACATATTTAGGCCGGGGCTTTTTGACTATGATAATGACATCGAAAAGGTAATGCCTACAACTTTCATCAAAACGTGTTGAGACAAACTACAAAACAATACCTATTCAGTTTTCCTGTCAGCCTGACAAATAGGGAAACCGTCGCCAAGCTGAACGACTATTTCCCCCTCCTCTTATCCAGTTTTGTTTAGGGTAACACCAGAATTATACACGTCGGTTTTTAAACCAAAGCAATATTGAATAGGGGGTGGGGAGGGGCTCACTCTTTTCTGTTTTTAGGAGATGCTTCTGTGGGGCAAAAGTTAAAAAAAAATTAGATAGAACTGTCTCATCAGTTTTGTCCATGAATGAAGCAGTTGATGATTATCACTGACCCACGTGACACTTTTTTCTTTGTACTCGGCCCAGTGTATCCCGTCCATGCTGTAAGAGAGAGTAAACTTTGTTACCCAATGGTTACCGTCCTGTTGTCCTTGGGTTGCAACTTTAGTCACTTGCACCAGCTCTCCAAAGTCAATTTGCAGCCATTGTTTGCCGTCGTTAGTTTTTGCACACCAGGCTCCATATCCTTTACTATTACCCTGTAAGTTCAATCTCGCTCTTGCTGGTGCATATTTGGCCTGATGGCTGGAGGATGCAGAAAATGCTGCATCTGGAACGTGACCATTCTCCAAACCAAGAGGAAGGGAGCAGCGGTACACTAAATTGAAAGAAAGCCACAATGTAAATTTTATATTTTGAGAAGAAATTACACGAAGATCAGAAATATCCTTTGCTGCGTCACCAGCCGCTCGGAGCTTTAGCGCCATGTTCGCACAGAGGGTTCGCCGGAAAACTACTGTACCATTTAGAGCCCTCTATGTAAAAACGCAATGAGCGCAAATATAATATACAACTATCCCCCTAAAGTGAGGTGTAGGTGAATACTGCTGGATGTATGCCGGGCCGCAAAGCTTCGAGGTACAAAACTAGCACTATTCACAGACCCTGACCCAGTCAGTAGAATGAAAGTAAAAAAGGCAATAATTTTTGTAAATAAAAGACGAAATTTGTATAGGTAATAGCATGATTAGTAGTGATATTTGGCATAAAGTGAAAGTGAAATTTGAGGCAATTTGAAATATCACGAGTAGTATTTATGCCAAATATCATGTACAAATCATGCTATTATTTGTTCATACTACTACCCACAAAAAGTTTGTAATTCTCACATGTAGGTATTTCAAATTAGGCTGAAATACCACTGCTTTAAGCCAATCAGATTGCAGTAATTTCTCATGTAGTAGTATAAATTGAGTAATTTGTTTACGTTTTAATTGACAATGTTAACAGATACTTCGTTTTTGTTTTTTTTTCCCATTTGCTAAGTGAATTTTTCTGATTTTGTAGTAACTAATAAGAAAATAATCTTCTACCAAACAGTCGAGATACCGACAAGCCTAATTTCGTAGCTTTCTTGCTGATTTGTTAGTACAGTCGCCTCATCAGTTTATTGCTAAAATGTCGTCTTCCAAAACTCTCGCGAGACTCTATTTCAAACAGTGAAGAAGCAGGAGCCTTAGGAAAGACAACGCGACGTCAATGAAACGCTGAAATCGCAAAAGCGCGCGAAAAAGACTGAAAGCGACTTCCGGTGCACAATTCGCCACTCTGCAATTTGTCGAGTCAGTGACTTCGATAGTGACTATCGTCACCTCTTCTTTGTTAAATCTGTCAATGATTTTCCGAGTTACGTGGCCTAATCAAAACGCGCCAAATTTCCATCCACTGCATGATTTTATACTCGGCTCCTGACGGGTACTAAAGCTTCATAGTCATCCACTGACTGGCTTTCAAATGCTGGCATAATCCAACATTACTGATTAGGTACAAACTACTGATAAAGAGTTTTTGTAATTGCCGCAAATCGCTAAAGATAAAGTCAAGATAACTCTGACGGCAGCAGATCTTAGCTTGGAAAAACAAGCTAGTAGAATAGTATAATAGCCCTTTTTGAACAGTTAATTAGCCAATAAAAAACTGTTATTTAAACATTACTTGTACTCACCTAACAAAGGATTCGTGTAGATACTTCTTTTGTGGAGTAAAATTTGATTGCCTTGTTCATGATTTCCACGATGCAATAGCTGAATGAAAATGAACAAAAATACCCTAATTCAAGAACTGATATGCTCAATAAATAATTATGCCTTCGATCAAATTTCACGATGTATTGTTACTTTTAAAATATTTAGAAGCTGTTTTATTTTCATTTTTTTTTTGGTACCACGTACTGATATTATATTAAAAACTCGGAGTACTCTATGGCTAACCGTAATTTTTTCTGCTAAAATTTTCTACCAAGTATCATGTAAATTAAACCAAAATTAATGTTATACTCTTGCTAATTGTCGATTTTTGACCAGATAAACCAGCCTTCTTAAACGGGGCCGTGGACTGAATTTTATCAAAGCTTTAAGAATCAAACGCACCGTAAAATAAGAGATGAAAGCAAAATTAATGAAATGAGTATTAATTACGAACATAAAGTTTCTACTTTTTTACCTTTCCGACTGTTTCTTTCGCTTGAGAGAGAAACATCACCGAAACGAAGATTAAAGCGAAACTGGTGATCAACAAACTAGCCATTCTTTTCTTTAAAAATCTGATTGAAGTTACTTCTTCAACAGAAACTGAGAAAATGGCAAATGCCTCGAGAAAGAAACAGTATTTAAAGTTGACTACTTGCGTGGAAAAACTGAAAATTCTTGTAAGATCGGTGTTGTGACTTGGATGCAATTTGCTTTTTTTAATAACTTGAAAATTTTCGTGCAATTGCAACATATACGTAATATTACATGTATACTGTCAGCTCTTGAATGACAGTTTTTTGAAATCCTCTTTTTTATTCCATGGCAGATGAAACTGAAAAGCTGACTAATTTTTCAAACTTCTTTTATAATAAAGTCTACTCTTTTACCTTCCTTGGCATTTTAGACAATGGTGACTTTTATGTCCTAACACCGTTTATGAAGATAGCGTTTTTCTTGGGTCGTGAGTATGCTTTGTAAAAGCAGTGTTTCTATGACGACATTTTACCACGACTGACCAAAGACCGATTTCGTTTATGACTTGATAAAATAACTAATAACCTCAGAAATCTAAATATTATTTAATTATAACATGGTTCAACTATTATGCCGAAACAGCTATCATTGTAGTTACGGGGTATTGAGCGGCAATTGCACGGATGCATGGATGATATTATTTAGATGTTAATAAAATAGACATAAGAAATGGAAGGCAAGACTTCTTTAGAAGTTTTTTTTTACTCCGCTAACAAGTAAAGGAACGAAAGTATGTCAAATTCAATTTTTTGTATATTTTTTGCCACATTCAGTTCAATAGCCACAGTTTGGTACTTTAATGATTTCCAAACGCTTTCTTTTTACATGTACTAAGTACCAAGAAGAACAGCACACTGAAATATTAACTAAGAACATGCATTTCTGCTTTCCCTTATTTTTTCAGCATTCGTCGATCAAAGCTGAGTAGTTTTTATCAGGAATTGATTAAGCAATTAAAAATGCCTATACTAGTAAAAGTGCTGTATCTGAAGCAACAAAATTACATGGATCCCGCGAAATCACATTGTTGATTTAGAGAGTCAGGAAGTAAATCGACTATAGGAGCCGCTATTTGCTTAACATAACTTGAAATTTTTCGAGCGACATGTTTACACTGATAGTGCTCAGCTGAGTGTTGTTTGAAGCAATCCCAAGTAGATGAACAATCCACACATCCCACCGCCAAACTAAAGAAGCTTATTTTTATAAGAAAAAAAAACAAAACTCGAGAGATCGAAATGAATCTTGTCATGATACTCTGCAATTTTTAGTACCATTTTTATAAAATAACCATTTTTGTACTGATTTTTTTCGATATTGCTGATCAATCGAAAACATCAATTTTTTCCATGATCGAGACGATAACCATACGTTCCTTTATTGAAAGTCAATAAAAAATAAGTTGTGTGCGAATTTATACTGCATAGTGGTACAAGAATCATTTTGTTAAAAATCGTTTACAAGTTCAAAGAAGTGTTGTTCAGTTTTTCGAATTAAAATAAACGATTGGCAAAGAAACCAGGAAAGAGTGGAAAAATTTCGTTTTAATAGGCCTTTTCCTTGACGATGCATGTCGGCTAAGTCGCCATTAATTCCTTCTTCTGAGTTGGAACCTGCTAACATTTTAGGATAGTGACATTAAATTTCGCTTTAACTGCGCGAATTCCTTAGACAGAGATCTCAGAATTTCATAGGTAAAAATTTTATTTAAAGATAGTCCACCCAATTTATTTAGCGCTAAATTGAAAAAGGCTCAAAAGAGAAAGAAAAAAATCTGTTTTAGATCAGCCAAGAGAAAAGTTTAAAAAGTTAAAAGTTATTTGATCAATGCTTTACTCTTTAACAAGCAATATGAAAAAGGTTGGAAATATACTGCAAAATTAATAGCTTCTCACCTTCGGAGAAATTTCCTGAGTGCATAAGATCAGCAACGATACAACGATAAAAAGCATAACGAAAAACCGAGCCATTCTTTTAGACGTTTTCTATGAGTAAGGTCCGAGGAACGTGAAGAGTTTTCCAAAAGGAACAGGGCTATGAGGTGACCGACCATCTGCTGGGTACAAGAAAAATCTGGTAGGAATTTATTTACAAAGCGTTGTGTTGTTGAAGTTCCCTCGTCAAAGGGAGAGAGAGGACTTAGTACACTTGGAGGGGTAGGGAAGGGGAAAATACAAAAGGGTGTACCATACCATGCAATGATTGCGAAGAGAAAACCCATGATCAAAACATTAATCTATTGGTTTCAGAGATCGGAATTTAAGTTTTCTCGTAAACAATTATTGTCTACATGGATTTTTCTGCTGAAGTTTTTTTCTCGTGCTATTTGTGTGTAATAGGCAATTTTATGATAGGGGATGCAATCGAAGTCACGCTACTTTTTAATACGTCGATGGGCGACGGCTTCCCTACAGTCGCGTTTGTTTTTAGTCGCCACTGTGCCTCGGAAATAAAATTCTCTTGGGCAAAATTTTACTCAAACATATCCACCAAATTCAGTCAAAACAAATGCCACGTCGACTTATTTGTCAGTGCTTTGTGTATTTGTAACTGAATAACTCGAGCGGGGTTCTTAGATTAGCCAGTTTCTGACTGAGTGTGAATTTATAGCTCAGTATATTTTAGTGAGTAACTGATCTTCCCAATAGACAAAACCGAAGGGCTGAGTTATTTGTTTAGTTAATTAGTCAGTAGTCTTTGTTAGTTTCATTAAATTAGGTAAAAATTGGAGACAAAAGATCTTTATAAAATTAAAGTACTCTTTACTGAACAAATCCTCTCAGCTTTTGCTTGAGTGGTCCCATAAGGTTTGTACTTATTTTGTCTCTGAACTGACGAATTTCCTTGATGGAGCAGGCTCGAATCACTCTTATCTAATATAACATTTAGTTTTCTGGCGATTTCTAATCAGCTAATTTTCGGATCTAAGACCTCAGCAATCAGAACTTGAAAAAAAATTGAAATTAAAATAAATTCTAAGCTGACTGTTAGGTGAGTTTGGCCAGTTCGTGGCTATGAATAAAACCCCATTCGGCTATGTACTGTATTTATCTGATGCTTGAACTTCGCGAAAATTGCCGATGTCACGTATTTGGATAATCCGTTTTGCTTAAATTTCTTTACATTCCTTTTTTAGAAAAAAAAAAGTGTAATAGTTTTCAATCTAACCAACGAAAAACACTGCCTCTGATCAAGTTTAAAACCGTTGACAAAGATTACAGACCTTTGAGTAGCGCAAGGTACTTTATATAAACGCCCGCGTCAAATAATACCTTCTTAACGTCTGTAATATTTTAAATAAAAATAGATGACTCTCGATTATCCCTCCATTAATTCCGGGATGAGTAGGGACAACTGTGTCTGAGTGATTGGCTAATGGGAAAGGGGAAGGTGACAAATTTCCAGTAAATTTTAAAGGCTAACGTACACAACCTTATGCTGCATATAAATCCATCATTTAATTCGAAGGTCGAAAGAGTTGCATTTACTCTCAGCCCAGTTTACAATATCTCACCCTACAAACAGAGTGGCTTTTCCTTGTTACTGCAGTCCTGCGAGAAAGAGTTCGATATCGAGCTTTTCGCAGGTGTTCCATTAACCACTTAAGAAGCGAGAAGGGAATGGGGCCGAGTAAACTTTCGACTTTCGACTTCTGGGACCATTACTGTGGACTGGGTAAAAATAGCCAATAGCCTGACGGGTAAGTTCCTAGCAACGATCCCAGAAACAACTGCGGGCCGCACATCTCGGCTCCAGTTCCCTTCTCATGTCTTAAGGGGCAAATGCGTACCACAGGGTATTTCGTTTTATTTGACTTCATCCAATCAGTGGCTGTGGTAACATGTCATAAGCATGGAATTTGTACACTTGTTCCCTATAGACGTTGTGTCGCGGCGATTAATTTGCTGCACAGCTTAACGCTACGTCTTAACGTCGGTTGTTTTGTCAGGTTTGGATCAGAATGTTAGAAGTTTTTACTTTTAGGTTTATTTTAGAGGTAAAGGGAGTGTTTAGGATACTGCTCCTTCTTTATTGTTGTTGTATTGTAATTTTATCCCAAGAGCATGCTCTGTCATAAGGTACTACAAACACGTGTCTTTTGTAGCGTTGTGTACCATATACCAAGTCAATATGAAATCCTGAGTTACGTCACAAAGAACAGGCAATGGCGCTCTAACAATAACACAATAGCCTGTACACAGTCAATGACATCGACAGAATAGTACATACATTGACTTCAACCTCGTCCCCAGGGCTTTTCCCTTCCATTTTTTAAGGGAAAAGCCCTGGGGACGAGGTTGCATTGACTTAAATGGAAATCGAACATTCCCTTTGTTCAGTTAATCCTTTGAGTTGTCGCAGGACAGCCAGGTGTATTTGTGCCGCAGCAAGAGCTTTGGATTCCTCAAACGTAAATGTAGACGTCTAATCATGACATGTAAAACTGATTATGTAACTTGGGAAACAGTGAACGGTATAGAAAACAACAAGAAATATTGCGTTCTATAATGGTGTGATGTTTCTCATAAAGTGGAAGAAGAAGAAGTACCGTATTTCAGTGCCCTCCCTTGTGCCTCCCTCGACATTTGAAAAATATTACTGCTATTTAACTACTGTCCGGATTTGCAAAGAGATTTGAACGGCTCTCATCTATGGAAAGCCAAATGGTGCAAAATTCAAGAAGCAAAATTGTCTTCACATTCAACAAATTTTTTATCAAGGTCAAGAGAGATTTCAATCAAGCTCACCAAAATCAAGTCACGTTCAACGGATTTTCTTTCAAGGTTACGGCATATTTTAATCAAGCACTTTGTTGNTCAAGAAGCAAAATTGTCTTCACATTCAACAAATTTTTTATCAAGGTCAAGAGAGATTTCAATCAAGCTCACCAAAATCAAGTCACGTTCAACGGATTTTCTTTCAAGGTTACGGCATATTTTAATCAAGCACTTTGTTGACAACGTTTGAGTTGGTTGTTGACAACATACCTTTGGTTGTTTGATGCGAGAATTGGCTACGTTGAGCGTGATGGCAATTAGAGCTTGACCTTGAAGGGCCGTGTTCTAGAGTATGGCGGGAATATTGGGTCGATGTCGAATGATTCTCGAAAACTGAGAAAAACGTTCCGTTGAAAGAAAGGAAAGCTCATTTCTTGAGCTTGACGCAATACTCTCTAGGCGTTGAATTGAAATTTGTTGAATGTGTTAATTTTTGTGTTGAGCTTGATTAAAATATGCCGTGACCTTGAAAGAAGATCCGTTGAACGTGACTTGATTTTGGTGAGCTTGATTGAAATCTCTCTTGACCTTGATAAAGAATTTGTTGAATGTGAAGACAATTTTGCACCATTTGGCTTTCCATACTCATCGACCATTTTCTACTGAGCCTTTTTAAAATAAAAACTAAGTGAGCAAGCATTTTACGTCTTTTCTCTGCACAGTATTTACACCCCAGTGTAAATAGGTATGCAAATGTGGCAGTTACCACCTTTGCACAGCTTATCCTTCAGTTTGCACCCTCGAGCAAATTTGGTGCAAACTCAGTTTTTCGTCCTATTTGTGCTTTTTCGATTAATGGAGCTTTCTAAGCTGTAGACGCTTAAAAAGTTAAGGCTTGTATACAAACGTTAATTTTAATTGTATCAGTTAACTGTCCTTATTCACAATGTTCTGATCGAAAGCTGGAAAATGGTTACAGAGTGAGTGGCAGTTTCTAACTAATGTGCGCCACGTAAAAAAGGACAATTCTAGGAATGAGTGAAACTGTTTGACGGTAGGCAGTCAATCCTGCATCTTGATTTGAGGTTGGAGATTGCTAGGTATCTTTTCTACTTCACGCATAAGGCTGACTGTGGAAATAAAACGTATGGGAAGGGAGGGTGGGTGGCTCATTAGAGGCTGGAAGTTTAATAAGAGAAAATACGTCGAGCAATTTGAATGCTTAAGATGTCCGCAAATCGATTCCCAGACAAAACATAATTGAGATTCTCAAATTAAAATTAGCAGTTCAGATTAAAACATATTTTTCCCAAAAAAGTATCTGGGACGTTCCCTTCTACTATTAGTGTAAAAGACATGTACAGGCCATATAGCTCTTTTTTACTTTTTTATTCTGCATGTTACAACCTTGAAAGTAAAATGAAACAAGGTTTGATTCAAACTCCAAGTACGTCACTGAGCCGTAAGCATGGTGTCTACACCGTCTCAGCGCTTCTCTACACTGCATCTTTTTAAATGCCCTAAAAGTAAATTTTCAGTAAAAAAAAATCTTAGTCATACTTTAGTATCTTGCTTGTCAAAATAAAACATCATTTTTATTTTCAGCTCTAAAAATTCTCAAAATGACTTTTTCCCAAGTTTTTGACATCGTTAAAGTCTGAAATTATATACTGACAGAAAACGTCATTCTTCTTCTTTTTTTCTTACCAAGCATAAGTCACTAAGTTCTAAATGTAAATACATGCAGGATATGGATCTTTTTATTACTTTTGTGTATGTTGCTCTCCCAAAAAAGGTCATCGGGTTTGTTTATTGTTCTTTAAAATTTCGTAAATTGTGTGTAAGTTCACGTGAATAAGACGAAATATGCATGAACATGATGAAACTGTTCTTTAGGTACTGTCCTGTTGAATGTTGAAACTCAATATTTTTTTTTACTCAGATTCGTGTGGACGGTGCCTCAAACCACTCTGGAGACTAGTTTCAAAAAGATCTGGTTCCGTTGAGCGGACTCACTAAGTCGGTGGTCTTAATTGCATGTACGGGGAAAAAGTGAGGAAAAAAATAAAATACTGTATGCGGCCTTAAAAATATCTCGATTCGTGTGGACGGGGCGACCTGTACTGGCAAAAAAAAAGATCTACAGTGGCTCAAAAGGTCTATAACCGCTGGACTCTTACCCTAATAGGACATCCATACAGCTCAGCACGCATGCAAACAAAGCCATACCAGCTCAAAGGATGAATTCGAACAAAGCGGGCATGAAATGGCGGGAAAAAATGATGGACGACAATGGAGTCACGATCAAAGTTTCCCCGAAGTACCTATAAAAACGAAAAATCAAATAATTACAGGGGAATTGTAGAAAATAAAGTTGTTGAAACATTTAATAACAACCTGCACTTTGCTTTATATAAGTTACAGTAAGAAACAAACCATTCATTGCCAATGAAAACACAGAGGTGTCTTTTTTTTTTAATCTCACTAGCCATTTGAAGAAAACGAAGATGGTTGTCAAAAGCCACGTTACTCGCCAATCTCTTACCCAAAGCCCTGCTGACCAAAAAACCCAGAGGATTCTGGTTAGGAGATTGGGTACTCTGCGCTAGGCACCAATGAAAACAAGATTATTTTTTTCAAGTACACGTACACACGACAGAGTTTGGGCGAGGTGCCGATGCCTGAGCTTGATATCCTCAATAAAGAATGTTACATCATACTGATTCAATACTTAAATCACCTGTCCTCTGACTGAGCAAAGTCTTTTTTATTTTTGCTCGACCCGAAAGACGAGGATGTTTTCAGTTGCCAAGAGTTAAACATTCATTCAGTTTCCATTTTTCGACTTTAAAGATGCTTGAGGTGACCAAGATATTTCTAGGGCCGGTGCAATGAGTATAGTGCTATTACCTTTATTTTACCGCGTACTGTGTACTGGACCCAATAAGAACCTGTGAGGCTGTAAGATATTGAGTAGCTGGTCGGCCATTGATTGGCGTCTTGCCTTCCTTGCGTGGCTACTTTAGTGACGGTGGTGGGATTTCCAAGATCGATCTGCAGCCATTCTTTGTTGTTACTTGTCTTTGCACACCAGGCTCCTGACTTACCCGACCTAGCTGCCTGGTTCAAACGCCCGACGTGGGCTGCGAGGGGACTGTTGTGAATGGTGGACGCAGTCATAGCGCTGTCTTGAATTCGGCCATCTTCGATTCCAAGCGACATGGAGCAACGGTGTCCTTATAAAACAGAAGTTTATTCTCAATTAACGAAAAAAAAGAAGAGAACACAGACAGGGCAGTCATTCGCCAAATATTAATCAAGACTGGACTGGTTATGTCCAATTTTCTTTATATTTGTCAATGGTAATCGATGCTTAAGAGGTTAAGTTCATAATTTTTCGTTATCAATGGAACAATCATGTTATTTTTCATAGTGTGGCCACTATTTCAGTGCATTACGGATGTTTAACAAACACTACGTACAAAAGCACGTGTCGTATTACTATCATACTCACTATTTTTATATTTTGAATACATTTTCCTACTATCGTTGCGGGCACGCTTTACCTTTTATAAGCCTCTTTTTAGAGCGGTTTTCATTTGAGTGTCGAAAAGTAATTGGTTTTGCACTTTCTACACGATGCGATTGGCTTAAAAGATTCGCGCCACCTTTTCATCCAATCAGAAGTAAAACCAAAGCCAATTGTGACGCGCTCGCATGCATTTTCCCGCGCTTTGCGTCAGCCACATGTAATTACTTCGAGTTTTGATTGGTTCAATGTATTGTCTGTGTCCTATGTGATTGGCCAGAGTAATTACTTTGGTTTTGGTTTTACGACACTCAAACGAAAACCACTCTAACTTTCGTTCCCCGTTTGTTTGTACGTGTTTTCTTTGCTTGTTTGCAAAAGGTAGATCAGAGGTGCGAGGAGAGGCCTCCTGGAAAAAGAAAAACTGCTAGCTACCGAAATCCTCCTATCGGCCTATATAGATTACCTTCCTGGCAGCCATAAACTTCAGCCCTCATTGAAATGTGACCTTGCCAAGTCCTGGGATGAAATCGTAGATAGCGGGCTTGGATTGACAAGTGCAGGGAATGCTGAACTGGAGTGTTGCGGTCGATGTTGCCTCCAAATACCTGACCAATATATTAATAAAATAGATGATCACAACACTTGGGTTAACCGTGTTAAGAGTATAAAAAAATATAGGAACATGTTAAGGAAACAGTACAAAGTCCAGCAGTCTGCAATAACAACTATATCACTTGATCCAGCTAGTCTCAGGGTATAATGCTTAAAGAGTTCCTAGAATATTCGCGAGCGGGCCTCTCTGATATTCCCATTCAGCACGCTGTTGACGCCAATAAACTATACCTCGAGTTCTTTTGAGCTTAGAAATCGTCCCAAGACGTCTCCATAGTGCAGGCCGTAACTCAACAGTACACGATGAAGCGTTAACCAAGTGTTTTATAAAGAGAACACTTTTGAATTTGTCAACCGATAGTAGGGAAAAGAGTTGTTGTCATCTTCCTGAGCTGTGCGGGCTGTGGCGTGTGCAAATCATTCTTTGCAAAGTTATTTCTTTCAAAAAGAATTTTTCGGTGAATTAATAGTTTTCCGGAACCTCATCACGAATTTTACAAACTTTTTTAATGTTATCTTAAGCGACTTGAGTAAACTTTCGCTAAGTTCCTTTCAGTTTTTTCATAACTGTGAGGTAAAAAAATATAGTTACGTATAGACATTGACGCGTACTGCTTTGAGTGCGAGCTACAATAATAAAAAATTCAGTTAGCTGCTGCATTGATCGCTTTGATACTGTTATTAAACAATTAGTTCATGCTTCAGTTGTGCGTATGTCGAGATAATGAGCACTTGGGAAGTTTGGAGAGCACTCAAGGGGCTAGAGTTTCTCTCGGCTGCCCTTCGAGAAACTCTTACGCCTCTTTCGTGCTCTCCCGGCAAACTTCCCGCGTGCCTGCGTGCTCAATTCTAGACATACGCAAGCTGATCCATGAGCTAATTGTTAAGTGATAGGAGCGAAAGCTATGTGTTCTCAAGTAAGCTTATGCTTACTGAAGTCCCAAAAGATCTATAGAAATGACTTGCACTCCAAATAATAGGATAATAATAATATCTGGCTCAGATGTTTGAGAATGTGCCTGCCAAAATTTGCAGCCACTTGAGTGCAAAAAGGCTAAAAGTTTTTTGTCCGATTAAGCCAGAGACGCACAGTAGCGGAGAAAAAGGAAAAGATAAACAGAAAGGGCGAGGATAGAGAAAGAGGAGGTATATTTTAGCGTTAACGTTTTCAAAAATCCAGCTAGTAATATATGAGTACTGATCAAAATGAAATGCGTCTTCTGTTTCTCATAGAACAAGAATTCCCTGAAATGCCGCTGCATGTTAGTCATACCTTAATGTGTCCATTAGAAAGTCTATACCAGACCCAATGAGCACCATCCACGCTGTGCAACAAACTATAGCTCGTCACCCATTGGTCAGCGTCATACCGTCCCTGGGTCGCCACTTTGGTCACTGTAGTTTGCCGTCCAAAAGAAATCTGCAGCCACTGGTTGCCATCGTTACTTTTTGCACACCAGGCTCCTGCTTTTCCGCTAGCTGGGATCTTATTTAGGCGGCCAAACTGAGGAATGCACGCTGCGTTGTAGAATGTTGATGCCGATAATGCGCTATCAGGCAGATGCCCACTCTCCATACCCAGAGGAAGGAAACAACTGCGAGCTATAGGATGGAAAATATGTGACAGAAAACATTGTTAATTAACGCTCTACAAGACTCAGTTTAGGTTTAGCATTTAATTTGTTTGGTACCGGCTGCTGACAGGACAGTTTTTTATTGTACGGTTGTAATTTAAACAATTTACATCTAAATTTCGTCACAAAAAACAGACTTTGTCACAAAACACAGAAAGATCAAGCGAATCGAGGTAAGGATTAATTAACTTAATTAATTCACTAACACAATGGTCTACTGATATACACTCGTCTAATTTTCTTTTTTGTACGGCTGTTTTTCATACAATCTCGTGCCCAGATAAGAGTCTTCTTTCTTTTTGGTTAGCTGTCAAAAAGCCAGAGGACGCTGGGAGCAAGACTGCTTTTGAACAACGAAAAGGTCGAGAACTCAAACTTCGAATTCTTATTGTGTCCATTGTGCAACTGGCACACCGGTTAGCTCTGTTAGTAGCAGAGAAAAACGCATGTAAACTTGTGAGTTCTTATCATGCTAGTTATCATGCTGGTTAGGATAAAAGCTTTCATGTTCAGTTCAGATGATTGGCTGAGTAGTAAAGTGACGTTAGCCCCTTGATCTTGATTCCACATCTGTTTCGTGATGGGGACTTCAGAGAACCCTTCTGATTGGTTGAAGCAAATTTCACAAGCAGTACGACTAATCAGAAGCAGTGCCCAGATCTGGGTAGCGACGCGTCATCAGTATGGAATTCAGTTCTGCGCTCGGTTTTCAGACCGCTGCGGGGAAACCGTTGGTGGCGTCACCAATTGTCGTCTGTTTTCTCAGGCTAAATGGAAAGAGAATGATATAAAAATATGAAAAATTTATATACCATCTTCACAGCCATAAATTTCCACTCTCATTGAAACATGGCCATGCCAAGCCTTAGGGTGGAAACGAATAATTCGAGCAAAGATTCCTGTGCCAGGATGAAAGAAATGTTTGACCACTGTANTAAAGTGACGTTAGCCCCTTGATCTTGATTCCACATCTGTTTCGTGATGGGGACTTCAGAGAACCCTTCTGATTGGTTGAAGCAAATTTCACAAGCAGTACGACTAATCAGAAGCAGTGCCCAGATCTGGGTAGCGACGCGTCATCAGTATGGAATTCAGTTCTGCGCTCGGTTTTCAGACCGCTGCGGGGAAACCGTTGGTGGCGTCACCAATTGTCGTCTGTTTTCTCAGGCTAAATGGAAAGAGAATGATATAAAAATATGAAAAATTTATATACCATCTTCACAGCCATAAATTTCCACTCTCATTGAAACATGGCCATGCCAAGCCTTAGGGTGGAAACGAATAATTCGAGCAAAGATTCCTGTGCCAGGATGAAAGAAATGTTTGACCACTGTACTTCTATCACTGTTGCCAAAGAACACCTGCAGAAGAATCAATCCAGTTCAAATAAATGAACGAATGTAACATTTAGTTATTAAAATTGTAATTCCAAAGTTAGCATGCTAATAAGGGGGTTATAAGGTCAGTAAAGTCGCTTGTAATTGGCTAGACAAAACATTTTTTTTTGCCAAGACACTTGCAATATTTAACTACCGCTGTTCTTTAAATCGATAAAATTAAGCGCCGATTACCAGCATTTATACTACATGAGAAATTACTGCAATTTGATTGGCTTAGAGTAGTGGTATTTCAGCGTAATTTGAAATACCTACATGTGAAGATTACAAACCTTTTGCGGGTAGTAGTATAAGCAAATAATAGCATGATTTGTACATGATATTTGGCATAAATACCACTCGTGATATTGTATTCCAAAATTGTCTTAAATTTCACTCGCCTAACGGCTCCTGAAATTACATATAAAAATTTTGAAATATGACTCGTGGTATTTATGCCAAATATCACTACAAATCATGCTATTACCTATACAAATGAGTTGATAATTTAGTCATCTGCACCGTACTCAACCTTTTAGCTATTCACTTTCTCACGATTGCTTTCGCTCATTCATTAGTTCATTCATTACCTATAGTTAGTCTAACTATAATTTAGTCATCATAGCTCGTGATTCAGCTGGTCAAGCCAGTCAGTTGGCGTCTAGTATCACGCGCAGCCAGCAGCCAGTCCTCTTTTTCCAGTTTTTATTATACCTTGATTTGACTGTCTTCCCGGATGTAAACCCAGTTGAGGTCATCTGCAGTATAAGACACTGAGAACTTTGTTACCCACTGGTCAGCGTCATGGCGACCCTGAGTGGCCACGCCTCTTATCTTGAACAGGCGACCCAGTTTAACCTAGAATTAGCAGATTATGCAGAGCTGAGCCCATTGTTCTTAATCGAACACGCAGTTTCTTCGACAGCTAAGTTCACTTTAGTTTCACAGACCAGTTTTAATCTTATCTTAACCTTGGGAATCAAAAGTAATTTAGTGAACAATCATCTTTCAGACTAGATCTTCACGAGAATAGTGCTGAGAAAACATCTGATGATAAGTAGGATTTAGAGTTATTTTAATTCATCAAAAATGCAAAAAAATTACTTGGCAAAAACTCTTGAAAGGGTCGATTTACACGGTTGAAGCTAATTTGATTAGTATTACATTTAGATTAAACATAACGTCATGGATGGCCTAGTTGTCATTTAAGTACCTGAAGCCACTGATTAGCATTGTTCTGTTTAGCAGCCCAACAATATTTCCCGCCATTTGGTAACAAATTAAGCCTGCCTCGGTTTGGAAGGTAGCTGGCACTGTGATATGATGACGCAGAGAATGCTTCTTCAGGAATTCTACCGTCTTCCACCCCCACGGGCATTAAGCAGTTCTTCACTAGATAAAATATCAAATTATAGCCATGTCAAACTACAGACAGCTTGCGTTGTTAGTCCTCAAAACCTTTGTAAAATCATCCACAAAAAAGAGTATTTAGATCGGGAATAAAAGAAGAAAAGACGGTTAGTGGATTTGCAACCTTTCCACGCGTGATATTAATACAATAAGTAACAGAGTTTATATGCCGAGGACTAATTAATTAAATTTTTAGGAAGATATGAAGTAAAAAAGGATAGCAAAAGAAAAGAAAGATGGAAACATACTAAGATATGAAGTAACTGACGATATACCTACCACTTCGACAACCATACAGTTCAGTTCTCAGGCAAGGAATATTAAGATTGTGAGTCAATGGATGAAAGCGGATGAAGCGAGCTTCCATGTGGGGCTTTAAGGTGTGTATAATCACTGTGTTTCTGTCAGTGTTTCCAGCAAACACCTGAGGAAAGTTACAGTGTAGTTATTAACAGTTGCGAAGACTCTACCCCAGAAGATGAGTAGTCAACAGTTACATTTGTATAGTTTACTTTCGACTGGATGCCATTATATGCGTTTATTAATAAACTCTTCCAATTGGCAGTGCTTTTCGCATAAAATGCTCTATGTCGGGTACCACACAGAATACACACGAAGGGTGGTGGGCAAAATCCTGGTGGCAGGGAAGCGCTAAATCTAGGGATAAGGGGACCAGGAGAGAAGCCCTCCTGGGGGGAGACAAGATCGAGTGGTACCGGGGGTAGCCACCCTGGACAGGAGTCCTGATCAGTCTCCGGGGGGTGAGGCCCATATCCCCCCGTACAGGAACTAAGGGGAACCAGGAGGGGTGGCCCTCCTGGGTGGAGTACAGATCAGGTGGGACCGGAGGTCCACACCCTGGAGTGGATATTTTTCCGGACCTGTCTCCAAGGGCTAAGCCTTACTGTGGGGTAAAGTGCAGCCAGGGGTTGCACTTCCCTGCCACTCCTTTTATTTGGAAGCCAGTCAGCAGTTTCACATCCCCGGAACCTAACGACGGAATGAGACCTATTCGAGTATAACACCATAATATAAAAGGTTAATCTTAAGGATACATATAGATATAGGGGAATAAAATAATAAACTGCTTAAAATACGTTCTGGTCGTGCTAAATACTGCTATGCTCCCAGAGGTACTTAGAACTGCTGAATCATTACATGTCTTCAAATCCAAAAATTAAGAGCATTAATAATACGTTATAAATAAATGCTGCTCCTTTGTAATTAGTTTTAATTATCACTAGTTACTGTAGACACAAATGTATATAATAATCTTCTTGTTTCTACATTATCTTAAACTTGTACATAATATATAGATATACTTTATTCTAATTACCTGTGTCATTTATATTCTGTTTCTTTGTGCTATACCTTCGGAGATATGAGCATTAGTTGATGCCATCTTTTGGAATTCAAAGTGAAATACGGTTTTGATTTGATTTGAGATATATATAGGGAACATAAGGAATAATCGAAGACCTAAACAAAGGTTCCAGGCAGACCAAAGGGTGGGTGGGAGGGAAAAAAAAAAAAAAAACGCTGTTGTGAATGAACCGAAGCTCTAAGAGAACTGACTGGGAAAGGACAGTGTACCGCAAAAAAAAGGAGCACATGAGCATGATAAGCATGTGATAATATGAATGGAACCTTTGTAGAGTCTAGTAATATATCATGCTACATTACAGTGGACTTTGCCAAAGAAGAAGGATACATTGTAATCAAACAACTAGTTAGTGTTCATTGTTCTTTCTTGTACTTTGAACTAGTATCTACCATTACTTAGTACAAAAACCTATACAAATGTTGCACGTTGTGTGACATAAGAACAGAGACATGATTGTTGCTAGTATGTCCTAAGTGTGCTTTCATAGGGGCATCATTCTCAGGTTTATTAACAACAGTTTATGCTACCATAAACTTGAACGAAACTTCAAATACCTACCCTGTAAATTTCTACACAGTGCTAAGATTTTATTTTTGGTGCTTTATAAAATCAAAACTGGTGTTTTGAGGGTAACGGCTAATGTTTCCACGAAACACCATTTTCGTGAAGATGTTTGAAGTTTGGTTTCAATGTTTAAATTACCATGTAATTTTTAATGTCCGTTTTTAATGTTATCAAGGTTCTGTATAATTTTTGCTTTGTTACAAAAAACGGCATCAGTAAGCTTGTATAAATTGCGATGTTTAATTACGCATAAATTTGCGTCCAAATACAGAAAATCACTTCAAAATCCGAAATAAGAGTAGTTTTGTAGGTCAATTCCATTGATAGACGATGCACTCCCTCCGTCAATCATCAGTCAGTCTCCTACTATCTGGTTTATTACTCACAGTGTATATTAAGTCAAATTACGCGCAGATCACAAGTACTCTACAAATGTGATGTTACTCCAGCAGTCTCAGTCCGTTTTGTAGTCCGTTTCAGTCAATGGTGATTGATTGATTGATTGATTGATTGATTGACTGATTGACTTATAGACTTGAGCCCTCTCCCATCTTCAGTCTACAACCGAGAACTTATTCGTAGGTTATTCGTTTACTGCTGGAATAGACTTTGGCTTCATGAACCCCATAACATTTGGAATCTCTCTTGTTACCTTATCTACGGCGCGTTGCTTGTACCAAGTCCAATGAATCCCGTCCACACTGTACGACAGTTTGTATGTTTTAACTCTGTCCTCGCTGTTATACCGCCCTTGTGTTGCCACCTTAGTAACAGCAGTTATTTCCCCTAGGTTGATCTGCAGCCATTGATTAGAACTTTTGAGTTTCGGGCACCAAGCAGCCACGTGCTTGCCGTCAGTTAAAAGGTTGAGTCTCGCAAGTGAAGGCCGGTGCCGGTTGTCGTAGCTGCCTGAAGCTGTGAATGCACTTTCAGGAATGCGCATGTCCTCCACACCAAGTGGCATTGAACAACTGTGAACTACATACAAAAATAGACATCAAGTGATCAAGTACTTGTAATCGTATTTGTTGGGACCAATAATGAGGCGGCTAATTGATTTTGAAAATAATTCCTCTATTTATTATGATAATTCATAATAGATTACATTCATAAAGAGGTGAATTACGTGTTACTAATTACAGATTTCGTTTACTTATCTCTTACTTAATAACCACATTGGTAAAATAAAACGGTATTTACGGAGTGTACTGCCGTCCTTCGATGTCCTGTTTTCCGATTAAATATGACGAGGTTCACATCATGGTGCGTCGTCTGATTAATTTTTTCTTCTGTAGTCATTACGGATATGAGACGTGATCCTGACTCAAAGATGCTGCTCTTTGTTTCTAATCAGTCAAATCGGCTCTATTTAAACAAGTTTCGTTCATACAGTTTGCCTGCTCTATCTTTTCTGATTCCACACTATTGCTCCCTACAGTTAATCACGTTCAATATTTATTGTTTAGACATTATGTAAACAGAATGAACTCTTCCCGCTGAAAGTAATTTCAACTTAAATCATACCAAACTGATTAACGTACCATTTCGACAACCGTACACCTCAGCTCTTAGACAAGTATGTCCACTGTATGTTTTTGGGTGAAAGCGAATGAATCGAGCATTGAATGCTGTCACCAGTAAGTGTTCCACTAATGTATTTCTGTCCTTGTTACCTGAAAAGGCCTGAAACAAAGACATAAAAAAGTTTAAAATATATTCTATAGCTAAGAGGGATAGAGCAAAGAAAACAAAGGCAGGATAAGAATGAAATTGCCAGGAATTATGAAGCAACAAAAGTGACATGCAAGTCATGGCAAAATGAGAACATTCATTATACCATAAGAAAGTTACGTATCACAGATGCGATACATATTTAGGTGCTTTTTGACTATAATAATGACATCGAAAAGGGAATGCCTACAACTTTGGACAAAACGTGTTGGACAAACTTCAAAACAATACCTATTCAGTTTTGCTGTCATCCTGGCAAATAGGGAAACCGTCGCCAAACGGAATGACTATTTCCCCCTTCCTCTTGCCCAGTTTTGTTTAGGGAAACACCAGAATTATACACGTCCGTTTTTAAACCAAAGCAATATTGAATAGGGGGTGCGGAGGGGGCTTACTCTTTTCTATTTTGAGGAGATGCTCCTGTGGGGCAAAAGTTAAAAAAAATTAGATAGAACTGTCTCATCAGTTTTGTCCATGAATGAAGCAGTTGATGATTATCACTGACCCACGTGACACTGTTTTCCTTGTACTCGGCCCAGTGTATTCCGTCCATGCTGTAAGAGAGAGTGAACTTTGTTACCCAGTTGTTACCGTCCTGTTGTCCTTGGATTGCAACTTTAGTCACTCGCACCAGCTCTCCAAAGTCAATTTGCAACCATTGTTTGCCGTCGTTAGTTTTTGCACACCAGGCTCNAATGAAGCAGTTGATGATTATCACTGACCCACGTGACACTGTTTTCCTTGTACTCGGCCCAGTGTATTCCGTCCATGCTGTAAGAGAGAGTGAACTTTGTTACCCAGTTGTTACCGTCCTGTTGTCCTTGGATTGCAACTTTAGTCACTCGCACCAGCTCTCCAAAGTCAATTTGCAACCATTGTTTGCCGTCGTTAGTTTTTGCACACCAGGCTCCATATCCTTTACTACTACCCTGTAAGTTCAATCTCGCTCTTGCTGGGGCATGTTTGGCGCTATAGCTGGAGGATGCAGAAAACGCTGCATCTGGAACATGGCCATTCTCCAAACCAAGAGGAAGGGAGCAGCGGTACACTAAATTGAAAGAAAGCCACACTGTCAACTTTAAATTTTTAGAAGAAATTGCACAGACACATATCCTTTATTGCGTCACAAGCTGCTCTTCTTTCAGCGCCGTGTCGCACAGAGGGTTCACCGCGAAAGTACTGTACCCTTTAGGGCCCTCTATATGAAACCGCTATGAGCGCAAATATAACATAAAACTATCCTCCTAAGGTGAGGTGTAGGTGAATAGTGCTTGCTATAAATATCGAGCCGCAAAGCGTCGAGGTCTATAACTAGCACTATTCACAGAACCTGAGCCAGTCAGTAGAATGAAAAAGGAAAATGCAATAATTTTCGTAAATAAAAGACGTCATTTATTGAGTACTTTGTTTACGTTTTAATTGGCAGCGTTCACAGATTTTTCGGTTTTTTTTTTCTATTTGCCAAGTGAATTTTTATGATTTTGTTGCAACTAATGAGAAAATAATTTTCTACCAAACAGTAGACACTGACAAGCCTAATTTCGTAGCTTTCTTGGTGATTTGTTAGTACAATCGCCTCATTTATTGCTAAAATTTCGTCTTCTGAAACTCTCGCGAAACGAGACTCCATTTCAAACAGTGAGGAAGCAGGATACTTAGCGAAGACAACGCGACGTCAGTGAAATGCTGAAAACGCAAAAGCGCGCGAAGAAGATTGTACGCGACTTCCGGTGCACAATTCGCCACTCTGACATTTGTCGAGTCAGCTTTCAGTTCTCCGCTCGCCGTCGTCGATGGTGACTATCGTCACCTCCTCTTTGCTAAATCTGCCATTAATTTTCCGAGTTACTTGAACCAATCAAAACGCGCCAAATTTCCATCCACTGCATGATTTCATACCGGCACTAAAGCTTCATATACATCTGACTGACAGGTTTAAAATGCTGGCATAATCTATACATTACTGATTTATAGGTACAAACCATAAAGTGTTTTTGTAATTGCCACAAATCGCTAAAGATAGTCAAGATAACTCTGACGGCAGCAGATCTTAACTTGGAAAAACAAGTTATTAGTATAAGAGCCCGTTTTAAAGAGTTAGTTATCCAATAAAAAGAACTGTTATTTAAACATTACTTGTAATCACCTAACAGAGGATTAGTGTAGATACTTCTTTTGTGGAGTAAAATTTGATTGCCTTGTTCATGATTTCCACGATTCAGTAGCTGAAAGAAAATGAACAAAAGTATTCTAATTCAAGAACTGATATGCTCAATAAATAATTATGCCTTCAGCACGATATATTGTTACTTAATATTTAGAAGCTCTTTTGTTTTTGTTTTTGTTTTTGCACCACGTACTGATATTATATTAAAAACTCGAAGTACTCTGTGGCTAACCATATTTTTTTCTGCTAAGATTTCCTGATAAGTATATTAAACGAAAATTAATGTTATACTCTCGCTAACGGTCGATTTGTGACCATATAAACCGGCCTTCTTAAACGGGGCCGTAGGCTGAATTTTATCAAAACGTTAAGAATCTAACGTACCATAAAACAAGAGATGAAAGCAAAATTAATGAAATAAGTATTAATTACGAACAAAGCGTTTCCATTATTTTACCTTTCCGGTTGTTTCTTTTGCTTGAGAGAGAAAAATCACCGAAACGAAGATTAAAGCGAAACTGGTGATCAACAAACTAGCCATTCTTTTCTTTAAAAATCTGATTGAAGTTACTTCTTCAACTGATCAGAAACGAAGGAAATGGCAAATACCTCGAGAAAGAAACACTATTTAAAGTTGACTACTTAAGTGGAAAAACCAAAAATTCTTGTAAGATCAGCGTTGACTTGAAGGCTATTTGCAGTGTTTGATAACTTGAAATTTTTCGTCCAATTGCAACATACGTAATACTACAAGCTACTATATACTGCCAGGTCTTGAATGACAAGTTCTTGAAAACCTATTTTTTTATTCCATGGCAGATGAAACGGAAAAGCTAGCTAATTATTCAAACTTGTGATGAAAAAATTCCTTTATAATAGTTTCTTTTGCCTTCCTTAGCATTTTAGACATAGTTGACTTTTATTTCCTACGTGGTATTGAGCGGCCATGGCATGGATGCATGGTTCATAAAATAGACAAAAGAAATGCAAGACAAGACTCCTTTACAAGTTTTTTTTACTTGGCTTACAATTGTAAAGGAACGGAAGTATGCGAAAGTATGTCAAATTCAGTTTTTTTATATTTTGCCACATTCAGTTTTCAGTGGTTACTGTTTGATAGTTCTATGATTTCCAGATTAAAAAACGTTTTATTTTTTCATGTAAGTACTAAGGAGAAGAGCACACTGAAATATTAAACCAAGAACATGTATTTCTGCTTTCCCTTATTTCTTCAGCGTTCGTCGATTCAAAACTGAGTAGTTTTTATCTGGAATTCATTAAACCATTAAGAAATGCCCAGTAAAAGTGTTGGATCTGAAGCAACCCCCGCGAAATCACATTAGTTAAATAATATTAGAGAGTCAAGAAGTAAGTCGCCTACAGGAGCCGCTATTTGCTTAACATAACTTGCAATTTTTCGAGCGACATGTTTACACTCGGATAGTGTCCAGCTGAGTGTTTGAAGCAGTCCCAAGTAGATGAACTATCAACACATCACTGCCAAACTAAAGAAGCAAACAGCAAACACCGGGAAACCGGCGGCTTAAAACATTATAAACTTAATCTTTAAGCTTATAAAAGACTTGAGGATTCGTAGAGACACCTAAGTAGCTCATTCGTTTTCGTGAATGAAAATTGATGTCTCTATAAATGTTCTACCGAATTATATTTCTTTATTGATGTTGGTAATCTCAAAAGTGCAATTTTCTTCGCTTTTGCGTTTGTTTTCAGCCGTTCATAAACATCCCTTGCAGGAGTACTCAAACTGCCGAGCGTATCAAACGCTTTTGAACAGGGACCGCGGAGCAAGGTGAAAAGTGGCAGGGCTGACAATTGAAAATAATTTTTTCATATTGAAAATCGAAAAAAGGAATAAAATCATAGTATTTGATTTGTTTCTGTCGCGTGACTTTGCATACTTTATCCAGTGTATTTGTTGCTCTTTATAGGTCGGCCAACATACACGGTCAGTTCAGATTTAATGCAAGAAAAGACGCGATTACAATTTTAGTATAGAAAATACTACACTGAAGTGATCTGAAAAATTTCTAACTATGGCCCTTCACTGTTCAAGTAATGTAATTCTTCTTGCCATCGAATATTTCATTGATTCGAAAGGAGAAACTGACAAAAGATAAAACTTTTATCAACTCAAAACAACTACTCACCTTCGTTTGACTTGAAAAAGCTAGTAATTTCCTTCATTTCGTCTGATAAAACTGATGAAAAACTCTGCCGGAGCTGGAGGTACAAAACACGCTGCCGAAAGAAGCGAAGGGGTGGCCAAGGCATGGCGTTTGATCAAGGGGCAAGTCGTCCCCAGAGCACAATTACCGCGAAAAGCACAGGAGCCCCACAAAATGCCTGGCGTTTGAAATTAAAGAAAATAAAGAGAATATAGCGGAATATAGACGGAAAAAACTTGTTTCAAGTCTTTTTTTTATTTTAATTATTTTTCTTTTTAGCGCAAAAAGTGGGGGCGGGGGCGCAAAAAAGTGGTGGGGCCGCGGCCCTACCAGCCCCTCCCCCTCCGCGGTCCCTGTTGAAGATTACATTATAATACCCTGCGAACAGAGTCTCCTTCGATCTTCCTCTTTCCCGACTTATCTAGGAAAGATCGAAGCGACTCTGCTAGCAGGGTAACATTATAAAACCATTATTAAAAAATAGAACTCAATAAATTCTCTATCACGTTGAAGCGTAACTCTTTTTAAATTTCTTCGAAATTTGGCGCTTGTCAAAAGTTGGAACCGGCTGGCCGTATAGGTGATTTTGGAAATTTTTTGAACTGTTTCACTGAAAGTCCACGCGTGCCTCGATGGTCCTGAATATTGAATAAATTATGTTTGATTTAAGTTATAAATTTATCAATGGTAGCCGTGGCTAAATCTATATATTATATTATTCTACGCGGAAACCTTGCTCCCTATCATCTTTTATAATCTCGGATCTAGTTCACCTGTTTAAGCATTAGTATCATTGTAAAATAACTCGGTTTCTTTACAGATTTTCTTCGATATATCTGTCGAAAACACCAATTTTTCCATTACTGATCGAGACGATAATCATTCTTTCCTAATGATTGCTGTATTTGATTCTTAGTTACGAATGTGCGTGATTTTTTAGCATGCAGTCGCAATATTAAGAACTGAAAATAAAGCATCACCATCAACTTAGGTGTTTAATATTGAAAGTCATTAAAAATCATTTTGTTTATTTAAGACCATTTACTAGTTTAAAGAAGTGTTGTTCAGTTTTTGGAATTAAAATAAATGATTGGGAAAGAAGACAGAAGAGTGGAAAAATTTTGTTTCGATAAGCCTTTTGCCTGCCAGACGTTGGCTAAGCCGGCGTCAGTTGCTTCCTCCGAATGGGAACCTGGTAAAATTTTAGGATAGTGACATTACTAATTTTTAATTTAATTGCAAATTCTTCAGAGAGCTGAGAATTTCATAAGTAAAATTTTAACTAAACACAGTCAAACCAGTTTATTTAGAGCCAAATTAAAAACGTTTCACACATGAGAAGCGAAAGAAAAAAACCTGTTTTAGATCAGCCAAGTGAAAAGTTTCAAAAAGTTAACAGTTGTTTGATCAAAAAAGGTTGGAAATGCATTGCAAAATTAATAGCTTCTCACCTTCGAAGAAATTTCCTGAGTACATAAGATCAGCAGCGATACCACGATACAAAACGGGAAGAAAAACCGAACCATTCTTTTAGAGGTTTTCTTTGAGGAATCTCCGAGGAACGAGGAAGGTGAGTTTTCGAAACGGAACAGTGCTATGAGGTGACCGAGCATCTGCTGGGAACACGAAAAATCTGGTAGGAATTTATTTACAAAGCATTGTGTTATTGACGTTCTCTCGTCAAAGGGAGAGAAAGAGAGCACTTAGTACACTTGAAGGGGTAGGGAAGGGGACAATACGAAAGGGTGTACCATACCGCCATATGTACAAAGCAATGATTGGGAAGAGCAAAACCAATGAACAACAACGGATCAAAACATTATAATCTATAGGTATCAGAGATCTGAATTTAAGTTTTCCGAAAACAATTATTGTCTAGATGGATTTTTCTACTAAGTTATTTCTCGTGCTATCTGTGTGCAATAGACAATTTCATGATAGGGATGATTTCACATTAATCAAAGTCACGATACAGTTTTTAATGCATCGATCGGCGTCGGCTTTCCTTTGGTCGCGTTTGTTTTTAGTCGCTAGTACCCAATGTACCTCGGAAATAAAATTCTGTAGGGCAACATTTTACTTTAATACATATCCACGAAATTCAGTCGGAACAAATGCCTTGTTGAATTATTAGTCGGTGCTTGGTGTATCAGCGCTGACTGTTCAATCAATCAATCAATCGTTTATTTATCCGCGTAACGTCCAGCGGCTGAAAAGCTCGTTGAAAATACGTACGTGCTAATTTGTTGAGTCAATTAGTCAGCAGCCCTTGTTTGTTTCATTAAACTCAGTAAAAATTGGAAACAGAAGATTTGGGCGATTTCTAATCAGCTAATTTCGGATCTAAGACCTCAGCAATCAGAAAAAATAAAGTAAAAAACTTGAGGAAGATTAAAGGAGACCCTTGAGTAGCGCAAGGTACTTTATATAAACGCGCGCATCAAATTTTAAATCATTATTCATTAAAAAATAGATGTTTCTCGATTATCTCTCCATTAATTCATGAGGTGGTTTTGATATTTAGTGGATTCCAGCATACGCGTCTCTCCTTCGCTTTTGCCCGCTGACACTTTTTTAAAAAGGAAACGATAACAACTGTTTTGCGCGTGGATAAATTATCGATATTTTTTAATTACACGCCGATGCCGATGCCATCGCAGGACTTGAAAAAATTTCCATACCTTGTGTGATGTCCAATCTCACGTCAGACAAAGGAGATTACGTTTAACCCAAAGGCAAATAGTTAGCCGCAAATTCAACATAATTTATTGAATTCTTCTGCAGGAAACGGGGAAAATTGTGGACGAGCCACACACAAACGCCAATTACAGAGAACGTGAAAGATCTCGTTTATTACATTTTAAAATTATTCATGGTTATTTCTATAATTAAGTATTGTTATTGATAGTCTTCATTCAAAGTCAAAATTAATTAGACAGTTTCGTGCTGAAATAGTCACGGTAAATTTCTCAGATATACTTTCGTAGACTTTCAGTATAAGCTTATCTACCAATGACCCTAATAGTGGGTTGTACACGAGAAAAAAGTAATAACCGAGAATGGAAGAACTTTGACATAAACTGAGCAAATTGTTGACGACGATTGCAACTAGGAAAAATAGCCTTTATTCTAATCTACTGACGCGAGTGTAGCAAGGTGATTGTTATGTAAACTTTTAAACTGATGGGTAAATTTATTTTCAATTTACTCCCTATTCCCTATACGTTGAGCCAAACCAAAGCAGATCACATCGCCAGCTTTTTTTGTGGACTTTTCCCACGAATTTCCTTGCGCCCTCCTATGTAAGATGTTCTTTGAACTGGCTGACAGGGGAAATTTCCGCGGAGCACTTCAGTTAGCCTGCGTAGCAACCGTTTCAGCGCGAGTTCGTCGAGAAAGTTGGGACGAGTGCACCTTTTTTTTGCTCCCGCTCTGACTTTCTCGCAATAATTCGATTGGAAACGCTTGCTACGCAGGCTACACTTCAGTTGAAGAATTTAATTTTTTTTTTTTTACCCCAGATTATTAAATCATAGATGCAAGATCTCGAACAGATCACCGCAAGGTGAAAGCCGCGCCAGATTTGCGTGTCAATGTCACGATTTCTGTTCCACTTCCGCCAACGTTTTCCCTCCTTGTTTGCTTTGTGGTTGCATTGTATTAGTAACAAACACCATTATACATTTTACAACGAGGCATCAATGGTACGTAAATCTCTCGGTCGGTTGTTAAGGAAAGTCTCACTGCTAAAGCGCTTTTTAAAAAGAAAATCAGTGGACCTACATGTGTATACTTTAGTAAGTCCGGGAATAGGGAAAGTGGACAAACATTTTTCTTATCTGCACCGTATGGGTCAATAATAAGGTTAACCGCGAACAATAATTACACATTAGGAATGGCAAAATTATAGAAGGTTTCAGAACGTAGCTTAACACTGGATAAATTCAAGTCATTACTTCAACTAGGTCTAAATCTAATAATAGTTTTCAGTCAATCACCCTCCGTCCTCAGTGGGTTTAGGTAGATAAATTAATTAATTTAATTAATTTATTGTTTTTGATAGCCGTTACAAAAATACCAGTACTTCATCAACGTTGTTCACTGCAAACCATGATTAGAGTTAACTAGGCCAAATTCAAAACGGTTACACTAGCGTGGTTAGCCTGACAGTGAGCCCTCGGGAGGGTGGGGACTTTTTCCTCTCTCCCCCACGCCCTGGCTAAACTGCGATAAGTAAATAACCGGACCAACGAGCTTTTATAGGATGACAATGTAGTTTTGTAGTTTTGTAGGTTTAGGATTTTGTTGTTATTTTTATTATGTAAAGCGCTTTTGGACCATTGGGAATTAGCGCTCTATAAATATTGTATATTATTATTATTAAAGGAAGCAATCTCGCACATCAGGAACAAAAAAGAAATGAAAAAAGTACATCATGCTTTTTTATGAGTAATTTTTATTGGGGCTTTCACTACAGGCTACTTGAATTTTAGAGAACTAAACCAGTCAATTTTCTCAAACTTCACAGATCCTAGTTTTGCCTCGGCAGTAATTGTTCTTGAGTTTCCTTCCCCTTCAGATTCAGGGTTGAGTTTTCCTGTCATTACTGAAAAGTTCTCTCCTTTATCTTCCTCGTTAACAATCAAATTCACACTGGAATTTATACCTATTTCTTTGGACTTCACATTGATATCTGAAGAAACAGATTCCTCTAGCAACTTGATGCAAATATTTCCTATGAGATAAAAATGTATTTTAAATGCCACATCAAACATCAAAGATATGTTAAGTTTTCTTTATTTATTTCTTTTAATATTTATTTATAACAACTTTTTTACCCAAAGATAGATGGTAAGAAAGAAGGATGGATGCAAAAAGGGTGCCAACAGAGAAGAAATGAATCCTCATGCAAAGTTGACCCTCTCCCTAAGTTTTCATTAAAAGAAGAGCATAAAATAAAAAATGTTGGAAACTTGAAAATAGACCTTTAGCTGAAAAGAATCACTTTCTTTGAGTGTGTTAAGCATAGTGAAAACTGGATCAGGTTGGGTAGGAAATGGAGTTCATTTAACTGTACTGCTGTGTTGTTTTCACACATGTTGTTTTTAGGACAGAAACTACTGACAGTACAAGTTTTCTGCAGCATCAGTGTAAGTATATCTTAGCCACTCCATCAGCAATTTCCCTTACCATGTACCAAACAATACACGAGCAAACATTAACTTAATCTTTAATGAGTTAGAGAAAAATGAGTGAGACATTAATAATCATAGATCATGACCCTACTAAGAGAACCCAATTTGCGCCCTGGCAAGCTTTCAACAATACATCTGCTCAACTACATATAATCGATCTTGGATCTGAGCTTCACATGTTCTTTGGACACTTGCATTAACCCTTTAAGTCCCAATAGTGACCAACATCAATTTTCTCCTAACGATATTCATACCTTGTCAAGAGATTAGGTTATGAGAATCAATTAAATGATCACCTAAGAGAAAATACTTTGATCTTTTATCAACCTCTCAACTCATTCTTTGAGGAAATGTATAGAGATCAGTTTGGAGAATTTGTATGTGGATATTGGGGCTTAAAGGGTTAAATCACTTATGTAAATAGTAATATACCTTCTTTTGACTTCAGTGTTACAATGTCATGATGTGCCAAGTTGACATTGATGTTCCCTTGTTTGGTGACTGCCTTTAGCTTCCCAGATGCTGAACCAACTGAAATGTCTCCTTGTTCAACATCTACTTCAGTTAAACCTGAAAAAAGAAAGACATGCAATGTACAATAATAATAATAATAATAATAATAATAATAATAATAATATTATTAATAATGATGATAATAATAATAATAATAATAGTAATAATAAACACCAGATGCTTGTAGGTCATTATACATTGTTGTATGCTGTACATAAAAGCAAATAAGTTACTTTATCTCACTTAATCGTAGACTACTAGCAGCTGCAAGTTACTATAAATGTTGATCAAAAGTGGGAAACAGAACCAGGGATAGCATTCTGCTGAGATCTCTCACATAGCTGGTCAGATTAAAATCCCTGGGCTGGCATTTTACTTCTGTTAACAAATATTTTATTTTTTTACATTACTTGTTGTTTTTTGTTCCTTGTATTTTATCATCCAACCCAGAAAACCTTGAACACTTTTCAGGATCGTTTATTGTCCTTGGTCCAAAAGCAATAAAGATCAGGGCATGCCAGAAAACCATAAAATAAGTTCCGTTGTTGCTTGCAGCTTAGTTTTGTCAAACCTGATTGGCTTTTTCTGGTGTTCAATGTTCTCTGAGTTTCACAGTAACAACATAGATAAATTCCTAATAACTTATTTTGTTTATTTTGTGGATACATGTATGATCTAGAGAAGCTAATAGCTTATTTGTTGTGAGTATTCAAGCATTTTAAAATATACCCAATCAATTACTTACCATGAACATCGCCTAACCTGACATCCCCTCCTTTAGATGTCAATTCTGCCCTCAGAAGGTACGTAGCTTTTACATCAATATCACCATCCTCTGTATCAACACAAAATTTCTTTCCTTGCAGCTTTTTCACAGAGATGCTCCCTTGCTTTTTAGTATCGAGAATTCCAAACTCAAACAATAACTGTGAGTCACATGTAATGTTCCCACCATTTGTTTCTACACTCAAACGAGATCCCTTCAGGTTTTTCAAATGACAAGATCCTTGCTCTGTGATAACTTCATAAAGATGTCCTTCTAAATTCTGAACATCAACATCTGCATCACCTGTGACTTCGATCTCAACACCATAATCGACAGGGACATGAAAATGCACGCTGATGTCCTTAGGAGGATAGTTGAATTTCCTTTGCTCCAAACAAGTTACCTGGAGGAACATAAAAAAACACAGAAATTTCTCAAAGATTATGGAGGTAAATTGTTTATTTAAAGTAATCACATTTTCTGTTTTTTTCTTTTAGTGGTTCAAGATTTTGACCTTGCTAAACATCCTTGAATTTCCAGTCAGAGGGGGATTGCTGTAATGTCACGTGATGGTTGTCATCCAATAGGATGCTATACTCTACATCTGCTTGCGATCTTGTACTCAGTAGCTCTCACCCAAGTGAATCTAATGGATTAAACATTGATTTTTTACGTTTACAAAGACTCATTTGTTACAATACGAAACACACAACATTATAATTGCCGGTGCTTTGAAGAGCGTTATCTTCAAACAAGACAGTTTCTTAACACTTTTGTCCGAAATTGTGGCTGAAACAGTGCTTCAGTGCTTGAATTGCATATTTCCAACCACTTTACGGTGACCAACTTCATCAACACAGTTCGTAAAAGCAAAGTTATACTTTTGCAATGCATCAAATGTCCTACTCCCTTTTTCTGTTCTCACCTCCATATAATCTCTCGAAGGTGACATGACTGCCCTGACATTATACTGTATGTCTTGCTGAAATGCTGTCTTCACTTTAGGGGACAGCTCCTCTGTTGTTTCTGTCTCCAGGTAAAGGAATCCCACTACAGCCTTGATATGTCCAAACTGAACGGGATCGATGGCTTCTACTTTCACTGAATAAGGACTCTTGATTATGATAGTTTGAGGTCCCATCAAGGGCGCTGGTATTGTAGCATGGTCCATGCAGTGGGTTTTCTGGCGAAGTGGTACACGATTTAGCAGAACAGCAGCTCGCTGTATATTCTGAAACAATCTTCTAGTTTTAAACATCCTGGAGACTTTTTAAAACAAACTTAACCATAAAAAAATATTGAAAACGTCGCACCGTCCGCCATGTTGGATTCTGAGCCCATTATTACCAGCGGTGGCACGTAGAGCGCACAAGCAATGAAGAACTTGAACTTAGTCTCCAGATCTCCACGTTCACTTTGTTTCAAGATGGCGACGACATTCGACCAGGAACTGCGAAAGGTACGTTGGTTTTCTTTGGATCCTTTAGCTATGGAGGCAGGAATTTTTTTTATCAAAGTCTTTTTGGCTATGAAACTTAATAATTCTAAGGCCATGCGATGTTTTCTCGATGACTGGCTTTGCAACACTTTAAGTTTGAGGGCTGTAAATTTCACAGTGCAGTGCAAAAATATAAGCTTAACTCGGTCACCCAAGTTGAAGTACATTAACAGTCCCTCTCTTAAATGCATTTAGAGAATTAAAGTGAAGCGTGAAAAAATTACGGATTTTTCTGTTTGAAAGGCAGTAGCAAACATACAGGCTATCATCAAAATAATATTTGTGAACATTGCCTCCTAAAGTCCTACGGCAATCAAGATATGTTGCAGTTATTTTTTTATTTCAGTTAGTTTTTGTTTTTCCTTTGTTTTTGGGTGTGGTAATGTAAGCTAATAAATTTGAAACAAAGATAAAACAGAAATTGACTGAAATGAAAAACTTACCTACAACATCAATCACCTGTAATCAACTACAAATGGAAATTAAATAAGAGATAAAATCTTACCTGTTGAATTTGAATTTGCTGTGGTGCGAAGTGGAACTGAAGTTGTTTTACAATGCAAAAACTATGTTCAAGTCAACGTTTTAACGGTTGTTGATTTCACAATGCTTTATGTGGTCACTCCCTGGTTGTTATTATCGTCTCGTGTTTCATTGTTGGTTATTAACTTATTAACAATTATTCGAATTAACAGTAATAATTAATGACAAGGGTCAAAACTCGGTAGCTGCTCTCGTACAATCAATGCCTCCAGTTGACTGGACCAGTTTGCAATGCAATGCCGAGCGAGGTAACATTCCACGATGACCATTCAGTTAAAACAAAAACAACAAGGCAATATCTGGATGTATATGCAATCAAACTTGAAACAATCTCAGAACCAAGCAGAAAAGCTTAAGAAACTTTCAGATGTCAAATGCAAAGTTAACTTCCGCTCCAGTCAAGTGGAGGCATTCATAAATCGAGAAGTCAGTAATCAATTTCTGATCATTTTGAATACAAAGACTTTTATTTTAAATGGAAAAAAGTGGCCCATCGTACATTTTATCCCTTAAACTGTTGTTGGAATGAATTTGGGGAAAAAAATGCGTGTAATACTTGAGTACGGCTTGAAAATAAATCGGTCCTCAAATTAATTTCATCCCTTGTCTCCTTTTTCTTACTCTCTCTCGAATTGTTAATAAATTAATAACCAACAATGAAACGCAAGAGGATAATAACAACCGGCACATGACCACATAAAGTATTGTGAAATCAACAACAGTTAGAGCATCGATTTGAACATAGTTTTCTCATCGTAAAACAACTTCAATTTCACTTCGTACCACAGCAAATTCAAGAATAAAACAAAACAGTTAAGATTTTATCTTGCAGTTTACAAATAAGAGTGTGGGTTCCCTATGATCACCTCTTTAAATTATCAAGAAATAACAGATCTTAATTATCAAGGTGATATAAAGCCCTCTGTGGACCCACTGCAATTGGCTAGACTATAGTGGTCTCCCGCTTCATAATTTTGTGTGAGTAAGTATTGTTTTCTAGTTAGGCCAAGCTAAATAAATAAACAAACGTATGGCTACTGTATTAAAGAAACAACGACGAGTTATTTACTTTAAATTGTTGATTCTAAATTCAAGAGTCAAACATGTCATGTAAATGCTTTTTAATACAGGCATTTCAAGAACTTCAAGGGAAGATGATTGAAACTACACAGCGAGTTAAGTTAGCAGAAGGTCAAATAATGCAGCTGAGAAGGAATATAGCCCATGCCAAACTTACAGACCAAGAACTTGCTTCCTTGCCTCAAGATACAAAAACATATGAGTCTATAGGAAGAATGTAAGTTGCAAAGCTTTTGCATTAAAATAATTTATATTGCAGGTGTCCAGCCCTGTTTGGTTGAAGCTTAAAATGTAAGATGATGAAACAGTAATTTTGAAGGATACTCTGTCTTAACAAGCTTGAGGATCCCATCCTCAATTTGTTTAAAAAATCTAGATCTATTTTCTGACCAAAACCAGTGGAGAAGACTTTGGCACCATACAATCTAGCCTGCATTGCTTCCGCCTCAAGCATGGTCTACATACTTATGTACCTAAATCTAGACATAGGCACAGACATAGACAATATTTTATTTAGGGTCTTCTATCTACAGCTAAGATAATCGGGTTCCCCCCTCCCGCCCTCCTTCCGGAGCACGGGAACAAGACATGATGGTATCTTGCCAAAAATGCTCGTTTTCTTGTCCTTGTCTTAAAGCACAAGGTGTTTAATAAAGTCTTGAGGGACTCAGCCAGACAAAACTGTTAGCATTCAACAAGTAAAAAATGAGATAAATCTATCATGTTTCAAGGATGGATTTAAATGTTAGTACAATGACTGGTGAATGCATGAACAATAACTTGCTGGTTTTTTTTCTAAATCAGGTTTGTCCTTCAACCTGTGTCTCACATTAGAAAGGAACTTAGTGAAAAACTCCAGAGTAATGAAGAAAAAATAAAGAGCATTGAGGTAGGTATCTGTAACAGCTTACTGTGAATGTGCTCATAGTCACCTCTCTCAAACGACATATTACCATAATCCATTCTCATTCTTAAAGCTCATGGGGAAAGAAGCAGGAAAAAAAGATGTGCACAAGATGCTTTCCCAGTCCAGGTTTTAGGAATTATCTTAATTGGATATTAGTCAGCTTGATAAATCTGAAATAGAAAAGGCAAAACTTAAGGCTTAAAATAAAACTTTGATTATTTCTTTAAGTTTGTTCTTGTTATCTCAGAGACCAGGTTGGGGAGGGTGTAAGTTATGAATACTGAAACTGGTTAAGATGAAATGTCTGCTATAGCATTCAAAAGTGTACAGTAAAGCTGTGATAATGAACCATTAGGAAAGACCCCAGTATAATGAGGTAAAATAATTTATTATTTTTTCTTATCTTGAATGAATCAGTTTATTGAGTACAATGTATTTTATTGTCTTGTATGTTATAGTTGTGATGCAGTAAATTTATGCAGTTATTTCTTTGTATTATTTCTTGCAGGCAAACAAGGAATATCTTCAGAAAAGTGTTAAAGAGCATGAAGATAACATAAGAGAGATGCTAGCCAGTAGACCGAAATAGCGAATGTATATAGTGATAATAAATATTGTGTGTTCCACAATTGGCCCTATTTTATATCATTGATACAAACTGGATTACCATTCCCAGTCTATTGTAAAGTCTCCTTTCAATTTACTAAACAAAAAGTGTAGTAGAATTTAAAGTTTTTGGTCATATTGAAAACGACCGCTCCCTCTGTCCTATCCAGCTGACAGGCAACTGACTAGAGAATGGCTACACTGGAAATCCTTGTTCATACAACCATCTGTAAGTTTGTTGAACTGGTATAGATGCTTTAATTCAGTAGAATTCAGAGTTTTGTGTTTACACAATAAAAATGTTCTCACTATGTAGGCTCAGTGTTCATAAATACTATTAATATTTCTCAGATATTAGTTTTGACTACTAAACTAAACTATTAAGTTCAATTCACTTTCATAAGGGTTTAAAAAAGATAGCATCAGAGATTAAGAAAGATCAGAGCTCATAATAAGTTTTGCAGAATTAATGTTGCTTTGTTTTTGTTTAGAAACATGTTTTCTTTGGTTTTAGAAGGACACCATTTTGATCTTTATTATGTTCAGAAAGAAATCTAATGATACATGGTGATCTATGAGGAAATTTTGGTTGGAATTTAACTGGAAATCCTACATGATAATTTCAGAAATACATGGGATTTCTAGATGTGAAATATCATCCATTTGCAACAGTTAATAATTAAAGTTGGCCAGTTCCTTGATATAAAATGCCCTTTGAAAATCATCATAGCAAGACTTGTTAGTGAATTGGATTACCGAAATTTCCAGTGAAGGTTTAGATGTTCCCCTATTTAAACATATAATTGTGACTTTCAGCAAAAGTCACATAGCCACTCCAGTATGTTTTTTTTATATTTATCTTTGTGCAACAATAATGTTATTTTTCTGTGTATCTGAAGGAATATCAAAAAAGATTTTAAAAGTACCAAATGGCTTCTTGATAAACCAACCTCATTCCCAGAGTTCTCTTCAGGCGGGTAGGAGTTGAAGGGTACCCTGGGAACAAGGTTGTTGAAATGGCCTTATGTTTGCTTGTAAAATAAAGGACGAATTTGACAGCAAGATGGAGATTGAAGGTGAATTCAGTTTTCAAATTATTTTCTTATTTTTTTGTTGGTTCAACAAAATAAATGAAGACAACTCACCACCAAAGACTCAAGACCCTGAAAACCATACCTTCTGACCCTTTTAATAGGCCAGCTATAGAAGTGCCTCCTCCCACTCCTTATATTTTACATTATAATTTTGTGTTGTATCTTTTACTACACCCCAACATTGACCACCCTCCCCCCTCCCCCCACACCCCTTATAACCTCAAATCATCTCAGTCCCCCAATTGAAAACGGGTGTGTCAAGGTATGGCTCAGAATATAAGAAGTCTTACATGTATACATGAAGAACAGACTGTCAGAATTTTTTTTCCTTGATAAAATAGTCTAGTTTGTCAGTGATGAAATTCGTGCAAGAATACTTCAGAAAACGTTCTATGTTTGAAAAAAAATTTTTTTTGGAATAAATTTTCAAGGTGGAACAAACTATATCACAGGAAAGGCCCATATTGAAGACCAGAGGATAAGTCGCCTCCTCATCCAGGAGTTTGATGTGTATAGAGTTTCTTTTCCTTATGCCTTTACCTTATTACTGAGATGAACACCACGCGCCTCTTTTGGTTGGTCTTCTGAAAGCCAAACTGCAACCCGAATCTCATCTCCACCCTTCCCCCGAGTGTAAGAAATTGCCATTTTCACAGGCCGTAATGAATTGTGGGTTGCTTGGTCGAGCGGAGCAAGATTAATTAATGTTGAGTTGTTATTGATGTTGAAGTTTTTCTGTCTCTGAAATATCGGATCGCCGGTAAAATTTTAACTTTTAGGTAGTATCACAGAAGCAATTGGATCGGACATGATTTCAAGAAAATGAATAGTTGAAGGTAATGGAGACGTCCTGTCGTGTAAACGGAGTTTGAATTCGTGGGACAAACGAACATACTTCGAAGCTGTGTACATTAAGTTTTATCATCAGGCAAGTTTCAAGAAGCTGTAGGTTTACGATATTGTTTTTTCCCTGAAGGCGTCGTTGGATTGTAGAAGACGTCATCTTCGGTGAGCAAAAGTTCTTCTGATATATTCTCTAGCCCTTAGTACGTGTAAACAATTTGTAAATTAAGGTGAACGCTCAATTAGCCTAATGCTCAACACTACAGCAAGTTTTAGTTGTCGATGATGAACATATGTTCTTACATAGTTGAATAATGCTAACGTTTAGATTGGAACTGGAAGGAAGGCTTACAAAAAGTTGTTTTATTCCCCAACAACACAAATATTTTGCTGTCTTATGTAAGCTTTTTAATACAACATGTAGTCAATCACATCCTACATGTACTTTGATTATTCAAACAGTCACGATGAAAGCACGAGCACTTACAATTATATCTTCTTACATGTACATGAAAAAGGAAAAGTTTGGATTCCACATTGCTTCTGAAGATTTAAATATTTTGTGGAGTAGTAAAACTTCAGGAATGCTTTTGTAACAAAAAGCAATTTGTTAATTAATAGACACAAAAGATGCAGTGTAACAGGGGATGGGGATGGTGGATAGCCTTTCCTCTTTATCTTTCTATTCTAACACTAAAAACTCTCTGACCCTGTTATATTACAGTTGAGGAAGAAACTCCTGTATGATATAGATAGGGTGACTTTTCTCCCACTTAGGGTTGTAAATTGTATAGCGTGGCCTCAAGTAGAGGGTTCATGGTCAAGTCGCTTAAAGTCATCTTACCCAAAGTTGTATCCTCTGACACCAGAGTTATTGTCCAAAATTTATAGTTAAGTTGCCCAAAATGCTGAATTATGTTGCCCCAAAATAGGAAAGTTTTGTAGTCCCCGTAGGCCCTTGGACAAGGGACTTCTTAGCATCATAATTGCGAGACTAATGCATGTCAACTTCTTGACAAAAACAAAAACAAACATACCATAGGTAAGTTGCAGCTGAGTTGCTAGAAAATGATAGAAGTCATGAAAAGAGTAAGATGTCAAAGCTTGAACTTCACCAGTGAGCTAAAGGGATATCCATTTCAAACAATAGAACTGAAGGAAGAGCTGGTTGTACTAACAGGGAAATGCGATGAAACGATGGAGCCAAAAGAAGAAGTAAACTCTTTAAGCTTGAAAATGGTTAAATTAATTGTTAAAATGATAATATTCCATTCCCTCTTTTTTCAAACCTCTTATTGTTCTACTTTACTCTTGTGTATGTCTCTAAAATGGAGTTTAAACTACTCAGGATATCCTCTGTATATAATTCTGTGTTCTTATTGAGTGAAATTTGCATACTTCATTTTTCTACATGTCATTGTGACTGAATATTTTGACACTTGTAATGTAGCTTAATGTTTTAAATTAGACTGTCTTGTACCTTTGAAGTCATCTTTGTTCAAATGCAAGTTTATCCTAAGAGAAGTTAATGATCACTGACAATGACATTAAAATGGCTCCAGGGTATTACCTTGTTTAAGAATTTTGAGACCATCTTCACATTTTATTGAACTCACTCACTAACCAGTTAATTACTCGTGTTTGTTTGTCTTCTTGGTAATAAGTTACCAGCATTAGCCTTGCTTTCACTCGAAACAAGCACTCATCCTAGGCCAAAATGTTTCTATTTATCATGCTCAACAACATCCTAACACCTTTATCAAGCATATGTTGTCTCATCAAATCTTAATGAATAAGGTATATTACTCACAGACTGCGCTTTTTTTGTTTCATCAAGACTTAAAGAACGAGATACATTACACATTCCGGCTTGTTTTGTCTGATCATTGTTGCAAAAAAGAAATATGTTACAAAATTATGCTGCTTGTTTTGTCTCATTATCACTGAAACAGGGAGATACATTACACATTAATCTTGCTTGTTTTCGACATAACTTTACATTTTGGGCAACTTAACAAAAAATTTTGGGCAACATAACTCTGGTTTCGGACGAAATAACTTTGGATGAGATGATCTTTGGGTGACTTGACTGGTTACCATTCAAAGAGGGATGGCTGTTTCATAGGTTAGAACTATTTTATGGTGGACAATAAAATTTCGGTACAGCTACCAAAGGACTTTAGGACAGATTTTTGTAGAAGCATGAAAACATCAAAACATGTGCTCTGGCTAAATCTTTAAAAAGAGTAATCATTTTTAACATAGGTGAAAGCTGTCATTAAGGGCTGAACCAGTATAACACTTGTTACGGCTGAGCTCACTTAATGTTACAGGTGATAGTGGAAAGCTAAAGGTGGCACTTTAAATTTTTGTCAGATGTTACAGGTGAATCTTCATTTGCTATGGCTGCTTCAAAAAAACAAAAATTCGCTTTATTTGAGTGTCAATTTATTTAGCACGAAAGTACTAATTGGTGACACTATTTTTGCATCTCCTACGGGAGACGGGACCGCCATTTTACGTGATCATCAAGGCTGCGCAAAGGTCTAGCCATTTGCAGGGTATGAGCAAAGGCAATACCTTCATTTCTCAGTTATTTTAAGACCCCGAGTATTGGTCTGGTCCCAGGAATCAAACCCACGACCTCCCTGCAGTCAAGCGCTCTACCGACTGGGCTAATTCTGTGCTTCAAAACTTAACAAGAGCCCTGATAGGGTTTCATTAGCCTGTGCCACGGACAGAACTAAACTTCTGGTCAGGTCTGTCTGCAAAACAGAGTTTAAAGACACAGGCTAGGGTTTCATCTTAAACATTATTGTCCACCAGATTTCTGAAATAACTGATTGTTAGAGTATATATAATTCCAATGTATTGCTATCTCAGTCTGTCTATTTTCTGGGATACAGTGTAGGACTAGCTTTACACTCTGTAAAAAAAGAGTCCTCTGCATCCTGCAGCACAATGTATGCCTTTTTTCTTGAGGTATCTTGTTAATATTTTGTTGCATCTACAATATCTTTTTTTTACCTTACCAGTAACCAGTCACAGTATGGAAACAAGCCCTCAGCCACAAGGTGAAGAAAAGATGGTGATCCCACCATACAGGAGCCCGGAATGTCATAACAAGTCGTTCCAAGTTATGAACACTTTACGTGAACAGAATCAACTTTGTGATGTGTTGTTGAAGGCTGCAGATAATGAGATTCCTGCACATAGAGTTGTTCTAGCATCTTCTAGTCCTTATTTTTTTGCAATGTTCACTGGAGAACTTTCAGAGAGTAGACAGACAGTTGTAACTATGCGTGAGATTGACAGCCATGCTCTTGAGCTTTTGGTACAGTATGTGTATACTGCAGAGATAGAGGTTACAGAAGACAATGTTCAGGTGACATATTTTTAATTGCATTCTTTTTAGGAGTTAAATTTTTCCAACTTCATATCATGGGTGACAATAGCTTGCACCAGAGATGAAGCTAAACTCTATCTGCAAAACAGTGCTGAAATCCTTGTTCTGGGCCCTCACCTGTGTATCAGGATTTGAGTTGACACAATGAATGGCCTACTAAAAAAGCCATGGCATCATTGATTTACCAGTCAGGATGAAATGAAATTTGAAACTCAATTTTGGTAATTTGTTGAGTTCATTGGGGTGCTGAACAAGGATCTATGCGCTACTTCACAGACATTACTAACTGAGGTTAAATTACAAGCATCAATGTATAATTCAACTTGTGAAATTACAATGTTGCTTTGGCAGCTTTTCCTACAGTATGTATTTTCTTATAAAAGCCAGCTCATGTCTTACTCATTTCTTTATTTCTCTCTAGGTTCTACTTCCTGCTGCCAATCTTCTTCAGTTAACAGATGTGCGAGATGCTTGCTGTGATTTCCTTAAAGCTCAGCTTCATTCTACAAACTGTTTAGGAATCAGGGCATTTGCTGATATGCATTCTTGTGGTGATTTAATGGCTGCAGCTCATTCCTTTGCAGAGAAACACTTCAGTGAAGTTATTGTGGCGGATGAATTCCTGGGCTTACCAGGATTGCAAGTACAGGAGCTTATTTCCAGTGATCAGCTTACAGTTCCTTCAGAAGAGAAGGTATAACATGGTTTATCGCCATCTAAACAGTATTGTCAGTAATAACCGTTTTTATACGGCTGAATTCGCGAGTACATCAACTGCAGGCAAATTGAAGCGAATCCTTAGCCTGCAAAGCAGGAGTACATGTATTTTGCAGAGCGCACGATGTTTTCCCAGTATGCTGCTATGTGGATGTTTAAAGGGCATGTAAACCCAAAAATACAAGTTTATCCCCTAATATGTAAAAAAGTATTCTAAAAACGATTTTGCTATTATTTTCTGCCAATTCGATGCCCCTAAGGCGAAAACACGGCTTTTTCTACGACAGATTAACTTCCGGTTAACAATATGAAATTACCTGTGACGTAACGAGTGGAACCAGTCTATTGCGCAACTTGATTATCACTATTGCGGCTCGATCGAGCGATAAGTGAGAGTTCGGATAGTTCAGAGCAGAATTCATCCGACGAAAGTGATTTTTACGACGTAAATTTATATGACAGCGATGTAGTTGAAACTTCAGAGCCTTCTGAAGACACAGGCCCGCGTCCCTATCGTTATGAGCCTCGCAGAGTTCAACGAGATGATGGACAACAACAACAACAAAGCCGTGAGGACGAAACCGAAAGTCAGACGGATCGTCTTGGCAACACAGACTGGTAATTTTTTTTTTGTGACTTAAATTGTATTGCTTATACCTTTTGACTTTATTTTGGAGTAATTTTATCATGAGACTAAGATCAACTCAAGCCATTATGAAAGAGGTCCTTACTTTTTTATTGTAATTTAGGTGTGGAATGTGTCAGATGATGCCTTCAGTACCCGAAAACGTATGTTGTCATGAAAGAGGGCAAATATGGCAAAAAATTGAAGAGCAGACGGAGGTCCAAATGTCCTGTATAACAGAACATCCAGGATTTCAGTCTACTTGCTTGGATGTGAGGGTCCTTGAAACGGCGTATTATGCATATAGGCAACAACATGACACAGACAGTCATAGAGGGCACGAGTATGTTTACTAGTTCTGAAATTTTCACTATATACATAAAAAAATTATGAACAGTTTAAATATGACTGCATATTCGTAGTTACATATTTATTCCAACATTTTTCCTCTCGTTCGTGTCTAGAAAATTTCGCTACATCGCTTATCGCCAACTTGTGCGATGGTGTTGGGGTTATCTTGGCAGAAAAGTAAGAGTGGCGCTCCCTTCCTGTGCAGTAAACAAAATACGCCAAAGATTTCCTGCGGATTTTGGCACCTCCTACATTGGTTTACAGCCACCAAACCTGCAATAATTAACCTATGTTTTAACGAATAAGAATAAAAGTAAGAAAAAAAAAGCAATCAAACAAAGTGCGATATCTCTTCAAAAACATAACCAGTGTACGGCGGTACGTTACTTTGACGGACTCCCCTCATATTCTTCAATGTCGTCCTCGGCTTCCTCAAGAGACAAATCAGTCGGTTGAACATAATCGAAATCTTTGTCATCGTCCACGCTGCGTCCTCCTAGACTTTTAACAGGGCTGCATTCTGGTGTATTAGTGCTTAAAAGAGCTGTAACTATAAGGTCGCACTGCACTTGAAAATCGTCTCTCAAGGGTTCTAATTGTGTGCCTGCTGGATAGAGATTCTACATTAGATTATCGGTTAGGGGGCAAGAAAAAAGCGAGGTAAGATTATGTGTAAGCGTAACCTACCTTTACCTATAGACGTTTCGTGTAGAATATCACATTGAACTGCTACCTCTTAATGGGTGATGTCACATCTTCAGAGCAAGGACTTGTTTCAGTGTCGACGGGCATAGACTCAGAAGCTGACGTGACGGCGTTCGCCGCGACGGAGGCACGTTTGTTACCGCCCAATATCTGTGAGAAAAGATTGAATAAACTTGAGGAAGGGGGAACGGTTAATACTGACCAAACCAAAAAAAATCCTTCTTAATTATTACATTGGCGTACTTACCCTAGAAACTGATAACTTGTGTGCACCTCTACTTGTTCGTGACCTTTTGCCAGAAGTCTGACTCGCAGGCGCCGATATTTCTTTTTCTTCGCTCTCCATAGTCCGCTAATTTACGCGCTTCGGGCAATACTTCGGGTGTCTGGGACTGAATTGCGGGCACCGAATCGCTTTTCAAATTGTTTCTTTTATCTTTGAGTCCCATTTTTACCATCCCATAATCCTCGAAACATTCGTGTGCAAAATGAGCGCCACAGATTATGGAGTGTTCCGTAGGTTGTAAGAAGTCTCCACATTTAATCCACTGGCGCCGAATTCTTTCTTCTTTTGGAAAAAATGAGTAAAATGCCCTGTTTTGTTCGAGTTGTTACAAGATCCAACGACACACCGCTTTACCATTGTCAAACCAAAAAAATATTCTTGTAGGAAACTAGACAACACACGTGTTCGTAAAGGTCCCAAAGATGTTTTTGACTTCCGATGGGCAGAGATTCCACTCGTGACGTCACAACAAAGATGGCGGAATCAAAATGGCGAACGAAGTGAACTTTCAGAGGTGATTTCTCGGGTCAAAATGCGCTTGTATCGAAAAGAAGATAGAAGATTTATGAAGTACTTTCGGTATACATCCTACTCATATCAAACAAAATTGTAGCATTTTTGGGTTTACATGCCCTTTAAACTGACGGAGAGTTGGGGCGAGTCAGAAATGATTCCAAGGGAGAAGCTGACGGGTTAAAATAGAGGAGGGGAGGGGGAAGGAGAGGGAAAAAATCCCCTTTTCTCCCCGTCCTCCCCCTTGTTGCCCCTCCTCCGTTTTTTAATTTCTTTCAAGATGACGGTCGCAATCAAGGTATCCCTGAGCTTTTATTTAAAAAAAAACGCGAGCTCTGCAGGCTAGCGAATCCTGTGCTCTGATTGGGCCCATCTTGCCTTGCTCGGGATTTCCCGCGGTAGTCTGGCAAGCAAAAGTTTTCTTTTTGGCCATATGATCCTTTCTTACCATGCTCGGTGTTTATTTTTACGTTTTAACCATAGGCTCGATTTCCGCCGTCTCCGGGTCCGCTCTTTCGGGGGGATGAGTGCGGGCTCATTTTCCCGAACAGCGGCTGGTAATCGAGCCTATTTTAACCACAGCAGTGAAGTAAATGTTTTAGTATAATATTTTTATCAAAGGCAGTACCGCTGTTTCTCTGGCAGAGAGGGTTTCGCCTGGCTTGCAATTGGCAGAACAATAAGTGATGTTAATAAATTAATTGTCTTTTTAAAAATTTCCAGGTATTTGAGGCAGTAGTTGCTTGGGTCAATCATGACCCTGAACACCGACAAGACTGTCTGGCACAGTTGATGGAGCATGTGCGGCTTCCTCTCCTGTCACGTGAATACCTTGTGAGCCGCGTGGAAACAGAAGCGCTCGTTAAAAATAACAACATGTGCAAAGATTTCTTGATCGAGGCTATGAAGTATCACTTGCTCACAAATGACCAGCGGTCTTCGGTGCAGTCACCCAGAACGCGCCCCAGGACTCCGATTGGCTTACCGAAAGTTATGTACGTTGTGGGAGGCCAGGCACCTAAAGCAATTCGAAGGTAATTTGTGCAGTTTCCGACCCTGTTCTGCATGGACCGAGCTACCCTGGGAAAACAGCTGACATCTCGCGACGCCACTACTGCTCTCCCCGTAAAATGACGTTTGAAAACACGAACGCAGAATTTCGATCCTGATTGGTCGTGCCGCTCGTGAAATTTGCTTCAGCCAATCTGAAGCACTACCCAGATCTGGATAGTGACGCGTCATCAGTATGGAAATTTTGCGCTCGTTTCTCAGACGTCGTTTCGCGGGAAAATTAGTGGTGGCGCGAAATGTCGACTGTTTAAACCTTTTTCTTACCGTTATGTGTAATTCAGGCTTGTTCAGGCTCGTTTGAATAAAGAGTAGTGCAAGAAATTGCTCGCACCGAAATTCAGTCGTATTTAGTATTTCCCTCCCGCTAGGGCTAGAATTCATCGGAAAAAATTACAGTCACAGTCGAAATTTGGTACAGGTTTAAGACTTGCTTTGCCATACAAAACAAAAGGGATATTTGATGATAGCGTTTGTTTCACACCAGCAAGTGTCTGCTGAAAAAAGAAAAAGAATAAAAATGATCGTAAATGTGCTTCGTTGTCTGGTCTGCCCGTAAAGTAGAATCAATGTAGTATGCGAAATTGGCAATTTTCTGCGGAGAAAGTAGACTAAATTATTTTAACTGTGAAACGTTTCAAGAAGCTTTGTCATAGGGTGAACTTATTTTATTTTTTATATATTAAATTAAAAGAAATTTTAGTCCGTTCGACGTTAGTGGGTTTCACTGTAAATTTATCGTAGAATTTTATAATTTACTTTTACTGTGTTATGAACTTACTTCTGTATCTTTTTATTTTTCTAGTGTGGAATGTTACGATTTCAAAGGAGAGCATTGGTACGCTGTTGCAGAAATGAACTCCCGCCGTTGCCGCGCCGGTGTGGCCGTTTTAGACGGTCTGGTGTACGCCGTGGGCGGCTTCAACGGTTCCCTTCGTGTCCGGACCGTAGACTGTTACGACCCTGTCAAAGATCAGTGGCGTCCTGTGGCATCTATGGAAGCGCGTCGTAGCACGCTAGGCGCCGCTGTGATGAACGGCTTATTGTACGCCATAGGCGGGTTTGATGGCACGACAGGACTGAACACGTGTGAGGTATATGATCCGAAGCTTAACGAATGGCGCTCGATCTGCTCGATGAGTACCCGACGAAGCAGCGTCGGAGTCGGCGTCCTGAATAACATGCTTTTCGCTGTCGGCGGTTACGATGGCGCCTCAAGACACTGTCTTAGTTCGGTCGAGTGTTACAATCCGAATTCAAACGAGTGGAGTTTAATGGCAGAAATGAGCACGCGCCGAAGCGGCGCTGGTGTAGGTGTGGCAGATGGACTCTTGTACGCTATTGGTGGACACGACGGGCCGCACGTGCGAAAAAGCGTGGAATGTTTTAACCCTGATGTGAACCAATGGCGTCCTGTAGCGGACATGAGCATGTGTCGAAGGAATGCAGGGGTGGCTTCAGTGAATGGCTTGCTGTTTGTTGTAGGGGGAGACGATGGATCTAGTAACCTGTTTTCAGTTGAAGTTTATAATCCTCGGACAGACCAGTGGGGATTACTTCCAACGTTTATGACAATAGGGCGAAGCTATGCTGGCGTGGCCGTCATAGACAGGCCCAACACTTGACCCGCGTTTTCTGTCTGCTAGAGTAGATTTTTGTATAGTAGTACATGGCTTTCATTTTGGTTAAACTATTAACAGCATCTCAAGAAAGGTTTGCTAAGACCTTTCAATTCACTCTGACAATGTAAAGTCTGATCCACAAAAGGAAACTGAGTTACGACTACGCATATTGAAGAGTTACAACGGAATGGAAAGGTTGTGTTATGCATTTGACGTTTTGGGCGTCCTCTGAGTATCAACAGTTCAGTGGTTTCGGTATCACTGACCAAGAAACTTTCGGTCGCGTAGTAGGAGGTTTCGGAGGTTTATTATTTGCACAACGTGAACATTTCTCTGTTGTACCCGAAAAAGGCATCTTGTTGGATCACTTACTTTGTACCCAAACTTCGTAAAGTCCTGCCCCCAGTTTAATTTCGTAATCAGTTTATACACTTAAGGCTGTTGTCAGGAGCCCATCATTTTATGGGCTCCTGCTGTTATCTTAAAAGCCAGTTCTGGTAAATTAGCTCAATGGTAAACCTTTTTGTTTGAGTGAAAAGGTGACACTTACAGCAATTTTAGCAGGGAATAAAAATGAAAACAGTCTCATTTGTCATTATTCAACACTTAGAAAAAGGTTGCACTTATAGAGAATTCATTTCTCCAAAGACCATTGTGTGTTTATGATAACTATTTTTTTAAATGTAAACTTCTGACAAAACGAACGAGTCGGCTACACGTATCTGGATAATTTTGAAAACGGAAATTTTTTGCTCCGTTATGGAAAAAAAATACGCTTCCACACGTAGCGTATTCGAATCGTGATAGCATTCCTTACATGCATGGAATGCGCTGTATGAAGTATGATCAGGTGATGGACTCTTAGTATGACATCTTCGTATTCGAAAACCTCCGTTTTCGTCCGTCCACAAGAAAACGGTAAGCCGGTGTTTTCGAAAACCTGTGTTTTTAATGCGTAAAACACCGTTTACGTGTTGACGGAAGGTTAAAACGTCCTTTGCAGTCCATGCCTGTCCCATGCCTCTGTAACAAGGAAAACTCTGTAACAGTAATACGGACTTTCTCCATCAAAACAAAAACACTTGTGTCCTGAGTTTTCGTTTCTTGAAGTCACGTTTGAAAAATCCAAATCTGGTAACGCGACCTACCCTCCTTTTCATGTGAATACAATTAGATAATGTATATTCTAACCAAACAAATGCAGTCGACTCCTGATAATTCGAACCTTCAAGGGAAATAGAAAAAAGTTCGAGTTATCGATTCGATATCGATCGTAAAATAGACTGCGAGCAGTCTCTTATTTTTCTTTGCAAAGTTACTGCAGGCGAAACCTAAGCACGCCCCATCCTCACTGTAATAATAACGTCGTGGTTTGCAATCGCGCTGGATGAGAGAAAAGGCGGACTTGAAGAAGTCTAATCGTAAAATTATATGGGAAATGATCTGAAGGGAATTGAAAATTACTTCAAGTTAACGGGGGGTTCGAGTTACCGGGAGTCGACTAGCGAAGCGAATTAAGGTGACTCCAGATCCTAAAATTGTCTATAACTTGATTTATGCTCGATCGTCAGCCACTGTTCGAGAAATGAGCCCAGGCTCCCATCCGCCCGTCGACCTCGAGAAACTGGACCGAGATAGCGGGAGGAGCGGGGTCGAGCCTAAGCTTGGGACCGAGGTCACGTCAATGAGACTCATGCACAACTTTCTAGAACTAGACTGCAAAACAGTCGGCTTTTTCTCCAAAACGATTTAGCGTAGCTAAAAAGCTTCACACGCCTTACGAGCGTGTAAGGCGTCTCTCCCTGGCGCTCTTCGTTTTCAGCCTCGCTCCAGACATTTTGTTTACTTGAATACGCAAAAATACGGACTGGTTTGCTTACCGGACGTTTCGTACCCACGGACGTTTCGTACCCAGACGATTCGTACCCAAAGTTGAGATGATTCGTACCCAACGCTAAGATGATTCGTACCCAAAGTTTAGATGATTCGTACCCATGCAATAACCAAGTCTTTATGTTGTAAACAGTGTGTTTTCGTAGTTTAAGTTAAGGCTTTCACTAAAACAAACGATCGAAACCACAGAACTAACCGAAAGTCTCACCTCCTTTAGTATCGGCGCCGCTCACGCGTCATGAGTCTACGCAAAGAAAGTGAGCGGTGGTTATAATTTGATCTATTAAACTAGCGCGCAGGTACTGACGAGTTCTTCTGATTTATATCAATGTTTATTTTAGATTGTTTTGAGAGAGATATGATTAAAAATGTTTATTATCAAAAAGGCAGTTGGGTACGAATCATCTAAGCTTTGGGTACGAATCATCCCAACTTTGGGTACGAATCGTCTGGGTACGAGACGTCCGTGGGTACGAAACGTCCGGATTCCACTGGGCTGCAGCCTATAGAAATACGGACAGCTCTTTAATAAGGGATAAAGGGCTTCGAGAGAAAGAAACGCGAGGGAGAGAGAAAGGAGGAAGGGTTACCTTCAGTCGCTACTTCGTGTGCACATCGAGTTCTCGCACCACCGAATTCTACGAAACTTGGCTTTCCTAATAATATACGGACAGTGTTTGTTCCCTTGGTCTGTACATTACAGCCGGACAAGGTGCAATCTGAGACGGATACTGTAAACATCCGGTTATATTAGACCCCGAATAAGTACCTTATTCTCACTTTTAAATTTCGCGAAAAATCATGAGTCATGCATATTTCGCAAGTACAAAATTTTTCCCAAACCGCGAAAATGGCGACCATAAGTACTTGCGGGCTGTGTTAATAACCTTGCAATGTTGACCGGGAAGGGAGGACAGATATTCAAAACAGAAACATCCTAGAGGGACAGACCTTAAGTTAAATTCTCTTAAGATTTTGAGCGTAAAAGATGCCTCCCAGGGGATATTTTACCACAGGAAGCCTCTCAGCGTTTATTTTTCTTGGTATCATCAGAGGATCTTTTTCGGTTGCCTTATACTTTGCAGTACATTCTTACAAATCGCCAAGTCTCGTATTTCTTCTCCGGACACCAGGCGCTATCGGTCTGTACGCAGTTTTTATGGTTTTCCTGTCTCGGCGAGACAGCGAGATCAAGGAGATGTTCTACGACAACTGCAGAGCTGTAAGGAGTTACTGGAAGTTTGCTGTGATGGGATTTGTTCAGTTAGCTGCCCCGTACATTCTTTTCACGTATGCTTTGCGAGTTTTGAACCCCACAACTGCTGGCGTTTACATGGCTGCCGCTCCGTGGTTTTCGATTTTGTTGGAAAGATTGCCATTCGTTCGAGTAAGTTATATTTTATTGTCTTTATTCTCTCAGCTTTCAGGAGTCGTAAAATCTTTAATTACAGATGCTGTTAATTGTTATTTCTAACTGTTGCTTTAATTAAAACCGGAAGTGAATTGAACGTAACGTAATTTTGATTGAAAATAAGCTTATTAAAGCATTGTTGCCATGCTGTTAGTGATGTAATGAACTTAATATTAATTGGCCCTGTGCTAAAGAGTCTAAAGAAGGAAGAAGAAATATCAATATACCTCAAATGTTTGTTGAAGCCACATTTGTGTTGGGTGACTGCTAGACATTGCCTGCATGCAGACGTCTCCTATTTCCTTTGTTTCACGTGTAAAAGGGACGTCTGCGTAACGCCGTCGCTAATCGTGTTCCAGCATCACGCTGGGTTCCCAAGATCTTGGGAACATGCTGTGATAGGCTGACACACAGTGCGCATTGTTTGACTTAACGCTAATTGGTTGTTATCGAATCTGGTCTGATAATGTATGCGGTGATTTATGTAATCGGGGTTTTCCAGCCAAAACAAACCAAAACATGTGCCATTTTGTGCAGACCGTTCGAAATTCTTAACGTGTACGAGGAAATTATTTCTTTACAATTTACTGTGCATGAGACATCACATCATCTTTATAAACAGTGTCTGGGAAAACTACAAAAGCGGCGTGGACTTCGCACCAGGCAGGCATTTCGGAGAAAGCCAGCCAAAGAAACTAAATTCTTTATTTAGCTGTAACAAACAGAGGTCAAAGAAAATTTAAACACTTTACAACTGCATCTGATATCAAATCCTATCAGGAAAACCCACAGAAGCATAAACCACAGGAAATGATTACTCAGTATGCATGTAACGAACTTGCTTCATGACCTCTAAATGTAAGACTTAGTGCGCCAAAAACGAGATTTACTCAGTCAAAATTTAGAATGCCACATGCACCGTGTAGTGCTAGTAACCTTCGCGCAGGAGAGAAAAGAAGAAAAACCTCTGTTCAAGCAGACTCTCAAGGTCACGTTTCGCATTATCACGAGCTTATGATGTTGCGTTTGGCCTGTCAACTCTTATTTCTAACCGGGTATTATTTCACAATTTATGCGAAGGGAATACCCTGCCAGCGTATGCTGGAACACGATTAGCGACGGCGTTACGCAGACGTCCCTTTTCCGCGTGCAACAAAGGAAATAGGAGACGTCTGCACGCAGGCAATGCTAGACATGGCCTGATTAAGGGCTTAGGTACAAAATCATAGTTATACCTGGGCCAGGGGGACACACCGATAATTACCCTAAAGGTTATGTGTTGCAAGTCAAGATATGGTTACAGATATTATCAGTTTTTATATCCAGATTTCTTAAAGGAAATGGACAGTTGTCAACAGAGGCTAAAATTCGCATTTCAGTTTATTCAGTTTATTTTGCCAAAATTAAAGCACTTATAAGCGGCCATGGGGGGGGGGGGAGGAATGATCCCAGGGAACCCCTGTTCATTTGCACATCAACGTTTACAAATACCCCCTACTCAAAACCAAGATTTTTTGACAAAAAGCTGCTAACACCTCTCCCTTGGGGGCAAAGAAGTGTGCTCTGACAAGTCAAAAGGTGCAATATTTCAAAAGAGTTCTATAGAAGGAATCGTAGTCTTCTTTTGACAAATATAGTCGCTTTGTAGGCAAAGGCTGGCCAGCTAAAAGGAACACCATTTTTTTTGTCACCATTTTGCCAGAATGTGTTCACCAACTGAACATACCCAGTCCTTTCGCAGACAGGAATGGCACTCGTTTCCAGCTTCATCTACAAAATGGCAGTTGGTGCTACAAATCCCGCGCATCTTCCCCCGGAGATCCTGCTACGAAAGTGCAAAAGCAATCCAATCCCCCCATCCAGGGCTTAAAATTAACGAACAAAGTTGACAAATCCTGCACCATGCCCTCATATTTCCCCAGGGTTACTTCCCCAGGATGGCCACTGATAAGTGCATAACCTTTTTTTGGCAGGGAAAACAATACCACTAGGCCATGTCCAAGTGGCTCCAAGCCTCTGTTTCAAAGTGAGGCTCAATATGAAAGTGGCAGTGTTTAGAACTTGAAAATGGCCTGTCGATCTGGTTCTCAATAGGACACTGAACTTGTAAAAATGTGAAGACAAACTTGACTTTACTGACAAACCTCAATCGTCTTTTGCCTTTCAGGTAAGTTCTCCAGTTTCAGCAGGAAAAGTTGGGGCCATTGTTGTGGGGCTGGTTGGCATCATTCTTGTTTCAGTATCTGGCATTGCATTAGCATCAAACAGTGATGGGCTTTGTCATAATTGTGAACTAAAGAATGGAAGCATGAGTATGGATAACACTACATCTTTTGAATTATACAACAAATGCTGTACACCATTTACAATGGCAGAAAAAACATTTTCTTTACTTGCTCTGATAAGTGGTTCCTTGATGTGGTCAATCAGCTCAGGTAAAGTGTATGTACTATTGTTTTACTTTTTTTTCCCATCTTGAAAGTTGACTGAAAGAGTACTGAACACTTAAGCCATTGCCCAGGGCTCTCATTATCTTATAATTATTATATAAAGCAGGTGTAGCATAACCATTTTCACTTTTATCACTTCAAAACATGTTTACACTCTGCCACATATGTTAATTGGGTCAAAGCCAAATGACAGCCCAATGACAGCCAAAATGTCAGGCTGTAGCTCTTCCATTGTTTCGCTTGACCATACTGAATTTGCTGTGCATGGAGGTTCTGTATGGATAGCATAACCAGTGATCACTTTCTTTTTTTTTTCTTTTTCGCAACTGCTATTTACTTGTATCCTGGTAATTTTTTATCAGTTTTTTGGCGATCCAACAGAGGAAGTATCCATTACGTCAGTGGTGGCATAGGTAATAATTTATTTGGTGGACTTTTTGCTCTTATGTTGTGGACTATACTGCAGCAAAATGAAGACCTTGAAGAGGTTTGTGTTTCTTTGAGACAATGTAATATTTTTTTTAAATATTATCCTAGTAAAACCTCCCAAGTCTAGATATAGATTTATGATCTCCACCATAACCTGACATATTTACGGCAGCTTATTTTCAGTTAACCTCAACATCTTGCTTTAGTATAGATCTTAATAAATTATTGGTATGCTATGTTTGTAAAAATTTTAAACCAAGGAAACTTCTGATTTTCCTTTGTTTAAAATTTTTTACACCAGTTATATATTTTTTTGTCTCAGATTGATGGAAGGGCCTGCGACAGAGAAAAACTAAGCTGATTTCATAAAAATGAAGTAAAATTAAAACTGCAACATATACAATTTATAAGATCTTACAGTAGTAAAAAGTTCATTTTTAAAACGCTAAGTAAACGATAGGTCATTTATTAAAAATTCGTTTTTAGATCAGTCTATTTAGAGATGGATGTCTGGAACTCCTCTTCCTTAGTCTTCCACTGTTTTACTTGTTGTGTTATTTTATCTTGTAGACAGACCCATGTTATTTAAGTGTGAGTGTTCTTTAAATTCTGTTCAAATGAAAAAAAAGTGCATCATACACCTACCAACTTTCTTTGAAACACTAAAAAAGGCACCAGATTGTGATTTTTTATATGTCTAATCAAACTGAATTCAAAGGTCTCCGGAGATTTCTGAACAAGTTCCTTACAAGTTCCAAATAGCTCTGAAGTCTTCTTTAGTTAGTAAAAATCCGGTTCTTTCTCAGATGAAATCAGAGTTTTCTAGGAAATTACAGCAATTCATTTGAACTTTTCTTTTCTCATTGGGTTCTATTATTAGTTCAACCTTATTTTGCTTTAAATATTTTTCATCAAAAATGTGTCAGTTAAGGCTGCAATAGCTGTGCTGGCGTAATTGTGCTTGCATGAGAGCTGGCAGGTTTAGCATATACCATAAAATTTCCAAAAAAAGCCCTGCAGCTTATATTTTTCAAGGGCCGTTTTTCAAAATCGATTAGGCTAGCCTTATTGCTGGAAGGAAATGTACCGTTTTTGCTTTGTTTTACTTTGTATTTGAGGGCAATTTCCAAGTACAAGCCCCCCAGGGGGCTTATGTTCAGAGGGGCGATGTAATGGTGGGTTTTTTGCATTACGAGTTTGGGGGGCTTATAATTAGAGGAGCTTATACAAGGAGGGGCTTACTTGCGGAATTTTACTGTAACTTACAAAAGTTAAGTTATTTCTATTGTTAAATGTAAAGCTGCTTCCTTAAGGAGCTATACCACCATAAATATTATCAACCACCTTTCAGTAAGGTACACCTGTGTCGACTTAGCCCTCTTCCCTGCCTTTTTTTTTATATAATTGCCTTATAATTATGTTCACCCAATGAGTTACCTCAGGTAAGTTAAGTATATTTCCACATCGAAATGTTATGTTGTATTTATGACATTATACGTTTATCTGTTTTTGTCTACTTTTGCTTCTTAGATACAGTGGAACAATGCGTCAGCTGTTATTTCCATCATTTTTCTGACCGTTGTTTCTGGCTGGCTGGCAGCTATTATTGTAGATTATATGTACAGAGAAGTAGGTGAGTAAGTCGCTTTGTTCTTTAGTTATCTCAAAGTTGCATATAAACAGTCAGTTATCCAGGGCTTCTGATATTTTTTGGCGAAATTCAGGTAAATCCATGAAATCCTGCGAAATTCACAAAAACACGCAAATACCGCAAAATTCAGTAGAAATCTTATCAAATACATGTCTGTACAGCAATTTTGAAACTTGTCTCAGCTACTGGGGATATTTACTTGCCGTAAACTCGCAAATTTATGTCAAAACTTTGTCACTGAAATGTGCAAACAACGTTCTGAAACTGCTACCAGGTGTAGATTATGTTGTGAAAAACTGGGCACTAGCCATGATGTTAAAGGCTTTGCCATTGGTTCATTTCGGAGCGTATTGTTGTTGAAAGGGCAAATGATGACCTCTGTTAGAAAAACATTAAAAACGCTGGTCTGATCAGCGCAAAAACCAATTGATTTCTAGCAAAATTTGCCCTAAAAATAACCCCAAAATCCGCCGTTTTTTTACCAATTGCTTTCCATCCAAGTTTGCCCCAAAAATTCCCGCAAAATGGGCATTAATATTCTTCCCTCCTTCAGCCAGTTAAAAACCAAATAAAATAAATGAAGTGAAATGAAATATTGGCATGATCCTACTCAGTGCATTTTGCACATTGTGTTTACAGGGGCCCTGGTAACCAACCGTGTCCTCTGCCTTGTTCCGCTCGTGGCTTGGTTTGAAGACTGGATGTTTGTTAGAGAATTTAAATTGATGCCCATTTATTGGTGTATACCAGTTGAGGTTGTAGGTGAGTGTAGGCAATTTCAATAGTAAATTCAAACATTTCTTCTGAATGGCCATGTCACCTTGGGGACAGTTCAGAGGTGACTGACAGTCATAAAGAGGTCGCCATTGTCATATATGCCAACTCTCCTGGATAATGTGGGAGTCTTCTGGATACAGCACTGATCTCCCTCTCTCCCATATGGGTCACCAAATTTCCTCGATAAAATGGACTTTTGAGATTTTTTGTGCTCTAGTTTGAAATTTGGTCAGGGTAAAACGCAGACTGCAGACCATTGTTTTACCCACGCAAATGAATACGTATAGTATAGTCCCATTGTTTTCTAACCCTTAAAATGATGGTCCACAGTCTGCATTTTACGCTGTCCTGTTTGAAATTTAGCCCATTTTTTTCTCAAAGTTCCGACTCTTTTATTCATTTTTGCATGTATTTAGTCACTGACAAAGATTGTTTCGTCATTACAACGTTAAAAGCAAATTTTGACAGCATGTACTTCATGTAAGACTTCATATAATGTCCAAAGCCATGGCAGCTGGGTGGGTTTGGGTGGTGGGGCTGTTAACATTCGTGGGGAGATGGAGGGGTAGTGAAAAATAGAGAGACTCTGGATTTAAGATCTCCAGAGGTTGGCATCTCTGCATTACAGGCAAGAATCAAGGGGTAGCCTGTATGGTACTTACAATAGGTGTCTAAATGGATAATGCAAGTAAGGGAAATGGGAGGCAGATTGGGGATAGCACCCCTCCTCTACCCTTTTTGAGCCTGCCACACATGATAGGTAGGGGTCTAAAATGACAGCAATTTTGTGGCATGGGAAGCAAAAGAACATTTTTTCTTTAAAATGCCAATTACTATGTGTTATATGAACACTATGAATATAAATCAATAAAATTATAATACCAAATGTTCAAAATTAAAATATCTATAAAATAAAATGAGGGAGGTACAGTAAGCATGTTAATTTGTAATTTTTTTTTAAACGGGAGTAATGGAGAGGTTAGTTGGCAATTGATTGTAACTTACTTGGCTGTTGCCATTATGGAGGGAAGGCTGTTTCAGAAAGGGTAAAAACATAGTGAACACATTGACTTGTTCTCTGTGACAAAGGTAATAAAGTGGCTGTTTTGTAGTTAACAAGCGAAGCAAGCAAAGTGAAAATTCAACCAGAGGAAATACAGAAGAAATATTCAAGTGAACAAGATTTATTTTTTTTTGGGGGGGGGGGGGGGGGGGAGTTACTGTTATGGAGGTAGAGAAGAAAATAAGAGGTGTTGGTAGAAGAAAAAAAAAGAAAGAAAGAAAAAAAAAAAAAAATAAAAAAAAGAGAAATAAAAATGAATGGGAGGTAAAGTGTTTTGTGGGGGGGGGGGGGGGGGGGGGCTAGGGGAATCTGCTGGACTGTTGCCATCTTTTTTCATATAAACATCTGGTGATTTTGCCCATCATTTGTGTGAAAGCATATCAAAGTTAAGAAGATTCATCTTTGCCTTATTCTGCCTGTCTGTCTAGGTGTGGTTTTCATGTTTGTCGGTCTGACAATTTCAAACTTGGAACCTGAGAACCTTTCAAGTGCTCTTCGCAGACCATTATTAACTTCTGATGAGCGCGAGGTAATTAACCAATTAGTAGGGGCTTAGAAAATGTCCTTTGCTTTGAGCGGCGGTTCCTGTCTGTGTACCTTAATCTTTACCACGCCCCTTCACATTTTTACATTCATTGATTAATTGATGGATTGATTGATTGATCGTGTAGATCATCCTCTGGCAGTTTGGACCAGTTATCAAATTCCTTTAAAAAATTTTTCTATCTATCTACAGTACCTCTAAAGGTCTAGAAATGTATTTCATGGGAAACTATAATTTTTTTGCTATCTGGTGATCCTAGCCTTTTCGATTGTATTTTTCGCGGTTTCTTTTATGTATATTTCTTTGATGTATAACTGATCACCTTTGTATTAATTATTAAGCGGGATAACAATCAGGATGTATTTTAAATGTAGCTCTCTTTGACCTAACCCCCTGTAGTTCTAAACTTTACGTTATAAAGGTGGCATTTTCGTTTTTCTTTTTTCTCATACGACAGACCCCAGATTCAACGCAGTTTTACAACAACATCCGGGACATTGAAGATGGCATGTTTTCTGATGAAGAGGTGAAAAACACCAGTTACATTCAATCATGCTCCACAAACTCGAGTGAAAATCCCTTCCCTCCCCTAGTGGAGGTACCAAGACAGGATCATCTCACTTGACTGACCCCATCCTGGTTCGGTGTGCTGTAGCTGCCCGGCCGGCGACCATTAGCCACGATACGTCGAGTCCTCGCATGGGAAGAAGGATTAAAAAGCCTTCGCGTGACGCTAATTTATTGCCCGCGCCGTCAAACGTAGCCTAGTGTGAATAGGAACGTCAGTTGACGGCGGGAAAGCGCGCGGAAGGGGCTAAACGCGACTTTCGGTGCCCAATTTGCCGCTCTGTCATTGGTCAAGCCACTTGTTTGATTTGCGCGCGCCGTCGTCAACTGACGTCCCCGTTCGGTTTCTTAGTCAGCCTTATGTGCATATATGGATCAAATCCTTTAATCCTCGACGTGTCTCAAATTTGGTGCTCCCTTTTACAAAATGACTTTTTCAGTCGTAAACGTACATTCGATCAAAGAGAAGAAGTAAAGAAAGCACACAAGACTAAGCAGGAATAAAGAAAACCAGCATCAGCCCTTATTACACAAATTGGCCAATGACTGAGTTGCAGGATACTTTCACCAACAGATCTTCGTTTGGAAAGGAGAATACTTTTGTACGAAATACAAGTTACAACGTCATTATTTTAATTTCCGCAAAAACCTGGTGTTCTGTGAATAGAATGTGGCAGCTATAACTAAATTTTGAGGCGAATTAGAATAGAGTTGACAAGTTCCCGTATATAACCTCCTCAACGTTTTGATTATGTAAACCAGTTTTTATAGTTTGTCTATTTTGGCCTTTTTTTTTTTTTTTTCTTAACCTGTCTTCTTCTTTCATTTTAAACAAACAAGCCGAAAAATCTTTCACTGGAGTCAAAATTAGAAACTCACATTGAAGAAAAATTACTTTTCTTTCCTCCATTTGCTTCTTTGTTTTGTTTTAGCGGTCGATGCATCCGATTTCGGCTTTTGTTGCGACGGCAGCTGCCGCGATTGCTTCTGTACTGGCTACGGGCTTGGCTCAAACACGCAAAGACCATTTGAAGACATATATAATTCAGCTGACTGTGAATTGTGTGAAGTGACGTGTAATAACGACATCGGCAAAATTAAAGAGTTTTTCTATGTAGAAATTCAATTAACCTTCTTAAATTACCCACAATAACGGTAAATTCATAATGAAAATGAATTGTCTGTTTCTTTGCTGTATCAAAGAAACTCGCATTTATTTCCATTCCTTGATAATGGCGTCATAATGACGCCGAAACCTCGGAACTTTATTTCCGATCCCTAGTTTTGACATGTTTAAGGATAAGGTAGCTAGCGAATAACCCATGGATGCCCAATTCCATATTTTATCCCTCCAGTAAGTAAAAAAAACCGACAAATTTTTCAGTGAGCTTCGACAGGGTAGAAATCGTCATTTTTCTATTTCATGTTTTTCGAAAAATGACGTCACAAATTTACCACCGAATTTCGCACCCTCGTTCTCAGGGTGGGTGGGAGGAAGAGAGAGAACGCTGGGAGCGAGGTTGCAAATTTTGCTTTACTTTGGAATATTTTAAGGCGGCGGTATCTGAAACAACTCTTTACAAGTGACTTCTACACACTCTAGGTTTTACTACACGCACGAAAACCCCACCCCTCCACTCATGTCCAATACTCTCGACTAGGCCCAAGTGGACGAAACCTGGCAGGAGTCTTGTCGAAAATAAAACCGGAAGTACAGTCGAGTCCCCTTGAGTTACCGACCGTGCGTGTAGTCATAAGATGAAACCGGAGGAGTAAACAATACTTCGAGGAGGGTTGGAAAGTCTTCCGGTGGAGTCCATCGGATCCATTGGAAACACATCGATTCCGATGGAATCTCCGGAAGTCTAGTTGTGCCATGAGTCAAAACAAACACACTGCAAGTGTAATATAACTCATGCTTTAAGCCATAAATTGAGACTAGCACGCTTAACATGTAACATATATAATTCGTTCTTAAAGCCATGTGTCGAAACAAGCACGCTACAGGTATGACATAACTCGTTCTTAAAGCCATGAGTCGAAACAAGCACGCTACACGTGTAAACTCAAGTGGAACCACGATCCGCAGGCGAGTGGTTTCACTTCAGAGTTTTGAACATTTTGACGTCATTTCTATGGTCGATAAGCTAAGAGTACAGACCGAAAACTGTTGTCGATTTGGCTTTTACAATAACATTAAGACGTACATTTTCGTTGAAGTTTCTCGGAAAATCGTGCGCGGGAGAAAAACAAATTGCGCCACTGTCACGCCGGCGTGGTCTGCACTCTATAGCTATCAGGAAGAGGAAGGAAAAGTTGTAGGAAAAATAAAGAAAGAAAATAAAACACAAATAAATGAGTAAGTAATGAGCCTGTGCCAGGCTCTCAGATAGTAGGGATGACGCGCAAGTGTAAGGCACACGAAAATAAGAGCGCGTGATCTGGGAAAAGGTTCTTCCCGTTTTATTTCGTGTTCGCCCTTTCTCAATTTTCGCGGCCCCGACTATCTCGCTCGGGCGAGGTGTGCTCTCTCGCATGTCGGGCCAGAGTCAGTTGCATAACCTGCATAACGTCATTCGTTACTGTTGTTAGTTTTCCGCAGAGACCTCTTTGTGTCGGAGTCGCAGGTAGGTTATCCCGAGATGAAGCATGAGGTCATTATCAATGGTGACCTCGACACAGTGTCGACAAGCTTTCTGGCTTTTGGTGATGACTTGAGACCCTGTAAGGGTATTTTCGATGAAGTCGAGGCGGCGTTTCCATCCAGGACAATTCTTGATATGAGGTAATTTCGTTGAAAAAGCGACGATTTGATGGAAAACGTGCGACGAAAAGACGTCCTTTGAACTTGGGTTTGCTTGCTTAACGTCGTCAGGCGGAAAAAGCTGGATTGCTTGGACGTGAGACACCTCCAAATCTGATAACTCTTTTAAATTGAAAGGAAGTCGTTTGACCTGTTTATAATAATAATAATAATAATAATAATAATAATAATAATAATAATAATAATAGCAATAACATATTTTAACAGAATGACCATTTCAGTTATAAAAACTGCTATCAACATGGGTCCCGTATAAAAATATCAGCTTAATACGAAACTGGGATAAAACTCTAGTCAATCATAAAAATATCTTAAAAAGGGGAGCCTTGGGACCTTAAGTTTGCTGTTGAAAATAATCCGGCTTAGAAATAACTTAGGGCTTGTCCATCGAGACATGACAAGCTTGACGATATGTCTCTTCTTAAGAAGGTCCCAACCAAGACCGGAAGCCATATGTTCAGTGGACAAATGCACTGTCTTAAACTATCTAGCATGTCTCTACAGGCGTTCCAGTTCTAAGAATTAGAACGTAGCCTGCGAAAACATCCGTTTCTCCTCGCTCCTCGCCGCTGGGGACGTGTTTCGTGAGGAGGAACGTCTGCGACTCAGCGACAGAAATTCCATCCTGATGACGTAAATCAATTTTTAAAAAATAAATCCGGTAGTCATGGGGGCTTCCAAATGCAAATTTGTTCAATTTTACGTTTCTCCTGGTCGATTTTGGTGAAGTGTTGTGTTCATCTACGAAAGAGCTCCAGCAAAACTCAAATGCTTTTTCTAGAGAAGAATAAATTCCACAAATATTGACTGTTTTGTTAGAGATTCGTCGCGTTTAGAACGCGGAAACACGCAAACGATAGGTTTACTGATGTCGTCACTTTATAACAATGAAGAACACACACATCACATAAGAAGTAGGAGTAACAGCTGATTTTACTGCATAGATCATTTACTTTTATACAATTAGAAAAAGGCGGGTTTACATACTTGGGAAACTAAGGCAAATATTCCTGTACAGATTTCGCTATTAAAAGGATAAGCTATGAATAAACTACTTAAAGCTTTTTGCCGGGTTGACAAGCTTTGACAAATCGTTGACTAAGTCATGATCATGTTGGAGCAGGTATTCTAACAGGATGGAATAGAATCACGTACCAACAATTGAGAGGGTATTTAAGCTATCGATCCTTGACTATGATATTTATTTCCAGAAAACATTTAGAACAGACACAAGACAAGTGAGAGATAATCCATTCCTTAGTACGGTAAGGGATACATTTAATCTCATGTTTCTGATTGTTTGGGGGTTGAGCAATACTTCAACTTACTAGCCCCACGGAAATTTTGCTAACGCCTAGCTACAAACAAGACATTTCGGAGATTGTTAATTACAGTTAATTATAGGGGCACCCGAAGCTACGCGACTGTTTTCCGTAAGCCCCATCTGTTCGAATTACAGCTAATATAGCCTGCGGTCCGCAGGCTACAGCTAATATTGCTCAGAAATAGTATAGCTCAAGAAAACTTAGCTAAAAAAAATTCCAGGTTACTGTTCCATTCATTTAAGATTTCCGGGCGTTATTTTTCACATTTCACTCCCGCCCGGCAGATATGGCTATCAGGATCCCTGAACCTGGTTTTCCATTTTCGAAAATTAGTGATAAGATCTGGAAGACTCCTTTTGGGAAAATAATAAGAAAGTCCTGATAAATTCTCATGACAGAACAGATAAAGAATTTAACTTATAAGCGCTCCTTCTAATACATTACCTGACTTCAAATCAAATTAACAGCGAAGACTTCACTTTTTTGACGCAGATGAGTTACTCATTTTTCTGCCTTTTCTTGTGGACCTGTATGTACTGGAGCACTACGGATGCGTATTGTAACTGTAACAGCTGTGAAATAGTAAGTATCTATCTTTTAGTTTACTACTCCGCCACCAAGAAAGTAACCCCGCGCACAGCAAATCCCGCCAGCTATGCAAGACGTATAAAAATTCACCTTCAAAAGTTAGGGGTGGCTGGGGTGGTCCACAAGGGGGTCCATAGACTAGGTCCACGGAGCTGATCCATAGACCGGGGGTCCATGTTTTGTATACGTCCAGCTACGCAGGCTAGTTCGGCACACGAAAAGTTCGACGTTTGAACTGGGCCTTACTTGGACATTCTTTTTTCAGATACTCGCTATGAACTCCAGCTCAACTCCAGCTTTCAGCGGTTTCAATGGATAAAATACCATAATTGTATTTCAAAATCTTATCCCTCCACATCACTTACGCGATGAAATTAACCCAAATTAGTATTTGGTTCTGGCATTGCTTTTGGTATTTGGGGTTCATTTTGTCGTTGGAACATCCAAAACTCTATTAAAAATCCTTTCACAACACCCCGTCATTGCGTTACATTTCTGTAACACATTCAACATATATACTGCGCAGTCCTGAAGGATTGAAGACGCCAAGATCGGCTTGTAGTAAATCATTCGTATGTTCAAACTTTACCCTACGGTTGAAGTAAACTGAGACAAAAATCTGTAAAATCTGTAATCCAACAAAACCTGCATATTTTAATAGTTTTACAGGAACTGCCGAGAAATTCAGAATTTCAATCCTGGAGCAGTGAGTGGGGAGTATAAAATCCAGCCGCTGCCAAATGAAGATCCTATCGAGGTGTACTGCGAGATGGCGATACAAGGCGGAGGATTTACTTTCCTTCCTCGCAGTCTCACTAGACGAACAGATGCTCAAAATATTGTCAACGCCCTTTTCCAAGACAAGAAAAATGTTCTGCTCAAGCTGCAGAGAAAGGTGGACCGCAGTGAGTGGTATACCCTGATACAGCCCCACCCTTTGTTCTCGAGTACTGACTTTGGGGTTTTGGTTAATGGTTTCTCAGGTTACACACAACCGTTGAACGCCTTCATGAAAGATTACATCCTTCTCGGCATTATTCCAAAATCAGCTGCAAATAATAATGGTCTCCAAGGCTTCAAATCAAACAATAAAGTAATCCAATTTAAAAATTGCGACAAAAATCCCAACAGCTTCTTCGCGTTCCTGCCAAACAACGGCCTTCAAACGCCAAACACTTATCATAATAACAACCTGATCTATGAGAGCAGCGGTGTTGCGGTAGAATGGCGGAAAAGCTCAATTGCTATCACTAACCCCGATCGAATGATGCCCAACAAGTTTTTCTTTCTAACTGAAGTGCTTCATGGGGGCTGTGGATGCTACACGTCCAGTGATCGCTGGAAGGACGGCTTTCACGCCACAGCCATTGGTCTTCGTTAAAGCTAGCCTTTGTAGCCGTGCGGATATTACTCAGTATAGTACAGTCTGGACAATAGTTTTCAGACTATCAGCATGATTTTAAAACATATTTTCCTTTCTTTATTAACTTAAGTTTTGGTTACATATGTAACTTTAGAAAGCCTCGAACAATCAAACTCTTTCAAAATCAGTTGTCACTCCTATATTGTTTTAAAAAGTGAGCTTGTACTAGATTGACTCTTTGACGACTAGGCTGTTATAAATACCCTAGCCTGTTCCAGCCTCTCAGATAGTGGGGAAGACGCGAAAAGTTGGCGGGGCGGTAAAAAGGAAAAAGGAAGGGAGAGAGAGCCTGTAATCATTTCCGCCGCCCCTTCTCTCCCCAGTTTCCTCCCGTTTTATTTTCGTGTTCGCGCTTTCTCAATTCAGCGGACCCGACTATCTTGGAGCCTGGAACAGGCTATAAATACCCTATTCATAACTATAACAAAACTGTCAAATCTGATTAGCTATCAACTGCCCTGATTTCAGCCTTAATTGGACAGTTTAATAGGACAGTACGCGTCATGCCTAAGTAATTGGACAATACGCGCCATCACGCGCGCGCTTAAATGGCTTTTTTTTCACTGCTAGCAAAGCAAAATTTCGAATTTCTTGTGTTTTGATTTATATTGTATTATTAAAAATAGCCTATTATATCACAAATTTTTAATTAAAGTTATGATTAATTGGTAACAGAACTTCGTGTCGTTCTTAAGCCAGACATTAGTATGAGCACTAATTTGTTTAGCCTGAGGGCGATGCGCCAGCAGGCTAAAACAATTAGTGAGCATACTAATGTCTGGCTTAACCTGAGGTGAGTCAGGACAATGGTAATGTATAAATATGATTTTGTTGTAGTGTTTTTTATATGAAACATGGAACAGAGTGAACATTTTCGCCAATAAAACAAGCCTTCTATTTCACAAACTTTCTCGACTCTGATTCTAGTGTTGTCCACTCCCCTAACCACTAGCCCTACCCATATCCCCAACCTCACGCAGCCCCCCCTTCTAAAAAACGAAACAAACTGCGCGCAAAAAAGACTAACTAATGATATAACTTGAAAAAAACGTAAAATTTATGCGCAAGCCGAGCTTGTTTTGCTTTTAATTTTCCTGTGCTATAAGAAACGGAACTTGCCCCACACAGTGTGCGCTCTCTTTTGGTACTTCGACGTGACATGACAACTTAGAAAAAGACTGTTTCCCGCCAGCTAGCGTTGCAAAATATCAAAATAATGGCTTTTTTCAAGAAAAACTCTTTGCAGCGAGGCAAAATTGTGTTGGCAAATGGCGCCGAAAACTCTGCAATTTAAGTCTTCAAAAACTCACAATTAGTAGACGCCAAAACGGTTAGTAAATTGAGTTCCGTATTTTACAACTGAATTGCATTGCTTGGCTTTTGCA